TGCCATGCTGATGAAGTCGATGTTTGTTTTTGTAAGTAGGGGTCGGTATTGGAACAGGTTACCCACTACTGATATCAGGAAACGTTTCCAACTTATGAGAGGTACCCCGACGTCATGTGACGTTAAAACGTCTTATACGGCCGTCGGTACAAAAGAACCAGAAATTAAAAATAAAAAATAATAAAAAAAAAAAAAAAATTCAAATGAAACCAAAAAAAATGAAGCTTCACTTGACCGAGGTGCTGAAATATCTGTCGCAGATATTAAAACATCACTAACTTCTAAAGTGAAAATAAGACCCTCCTTCAAAGGGGGGGGAACGATGTATACATACATTTTGAATTAAAAGGTTGGTATCAACCAGTTGGGCCGCAAAGCCGCTCAATAGTATTACAAATAATCAGGAATGCTCCGTATATTAACAAATGAAATTATTCTTTCTACTGCACGAATATGAAAAAGGTGAGCTTTCGGCGTTTTTCATGAAACATTTCAGTAAAAACAGGCAAAATTTTCATTTTTGTGGCAGCGTGCGAAGTAACATTGCGTCCAACTTGCTCATAGGCTCGATGAACAAACTGAATGGGCTTGAAGGCGGCCAGTTCATACCAAACTCACAGGCAGGCGAAATGGGTTAAGAGCATGAAGTGAAAATTTGACGTCGCGAAAGACTCGCAGCAAAATTTTGCTCAAGTTTATCGGAAATGTGTTCAACTTTCATGAATTTGCAAACGATTTATTTCATTTGACGCTACAAATTCGCGTTCGTGTTCACTTTCGCAGGAAGCAACCGGCCTTAACTTCCCCAAGTTCCGTAGGCCTATCGAAACGTTTCTAGTTACGAAATTATATTTCTTTTAATCAGCTGAGAAAATGTTTACTAGTGCAGTTGGATAAAGGCAAAACCCGTTATATAAATTAACATCTCCCCAACGCAAAAATACATCTTGAAAATATCCTTATAGTCACGGATGACGACACCCTGAGATAATTTAGCGTGGGATCATGCCGACATCGTAAAGGGTACACATCACACTTTGCTGGATTTCGTCGTCACGGAATAAATTATTTAAGGATGTCGTCATCCCATAATGTATTTTCTAAGGATGTCAACGATTTGCCTTTATTATGCCGTCATCCTGAGAAAAAAATAAGTCAGGATATCAGCAAGTCGGATGGCATTTCCAGAGCTCCGTACTTTTTGTATTCTACATGTCTGTTGTGATTGCGCAATCAAGTTCGGGTCGATGACCTTTAAACATTGACGTCAGCATTGTTATTATTATACAGTTCCAAGTATGTTTGAATGCCAGTGAGAAGTTCAAGGACTCTGACATTCTTTTCCATTCGTTTTTGCACGTAATCCCGCCGATTGTGCTGACAATAAGTGAAACCTTCTGGTAAATTCGCGAGTCCCTTCTCATGCTGCTGTAATAATAAAATCTACTTAAATTTTGTTGGCTGCAACAGATCGATCGATCATGGGTTTTACTCAGCTGTAGAATGTTTTATAATTTTTTTTGATAGGGGTAATTCTTAAGCGTGGTTGTTATAATGTGTGACGGACCAGTCTGTTTCCATTCAAATTATGGAATTTCGACCCAAAGAAAATTCTGAGGGATTTGATATTTTCACTACACAAAATGAAATCAAACAGGGGCATATGCGACTTAAGCTCGCCGGATGGAGCATGCGCAGGGGACCATGAGGATAATTGTTTGCGTTCAACTTCCTCGACTCTGTGGATACATGTATGACATTGCTATGGGCTCTGACTCTCCTGTTTTATGTCATCACTGATACTCCAAATATGGGTTGAAATGAAGACAGTTACACCTGCATAATTATATTTATTTGAAAGAATCCATTTAATTAAAAAACCCAAAATTAAATATACAATTACTACGCAGGGACAAATTTACAAGAAAATGGAGGTAATTACGTAAGCAACATTTAATGAGCTCTTTCATATAAATCAATGGCACTTTGTGATTTATAATTCCCCGTCCTTCTCCTCTTGTGAAATCAAACCTATTGAGAAAGGCTGACAGACACCTGTTGTCAGGCATTTGGGGGTCAAAGTTATCTGTGGAAGAATGAAGAAGAACAGTCCTTGGAATCATCATCAAAAATCCAGCTCGAAGGAGTTATCTTAGTTGGAGAAAAAGGAGCGCTTTCCTACAGTTTCCTTAACCACATTAGAACAGAGAAATGTCCATACTTTGTACTTTATGTAAACAGGTATAGGTATAGCCCCGCCCATTAAACCAAAGGTTGTTACGGTGGTTGTCCCTTTTAAAAGGATTGACGACACTCCGTGCGACACAGTGACGGCACAAGTTACAGCTTTATCTGCCCTTGGTTCTTTGCTAGGAATTCTATTACATGTAGTTCGGGTCAAAAGGAACCAGGACATACAGTATTCCGGACAGTGACCCCCAAAAGTCGAATATCCTTGGGGGCATTTCCTTATTTCACAGTTCATGTATGCTCGGTCAATAAAAAGTTATTAACCAATACCCCATGATTACAAACGAAGCACTGCAAGAGTTTTCAAGTTAATTACTTTAACTATTGTAATTAATTTATGATCAAGAAATTATTTTATGCCGTGTGGATCTCGTGGACTCGATGATTTGAAAAACTGGCCCAGGACAAAAGTAGATTACAACTTTGGAACATTTTCTTTAGATTTAGGCAGTTTAACCTTTGTTGTATCAGACAAATTGAAAAGAATATACTACTTTAGTTTCATCAAATGTCTGAAAATGTTGATTAATTAAAAAGATGCATTATCGGCAGAAGGCTATATAGGGGTCTTGCAATGAAGTTCCTGCGCCTAAACCACACTAAAGCGAAGAATGCCCTCGCGACACTAGACACAAATGCCATATTTACGCTCACCCGCATAAACTCCCGGTTTTTTATAGGACGTATATAGATGCATAGAAATAAAAGATACCAGTCTAAAGTGTCATTGAACGGGGAATGAGTAAATTAAACTTGATCCTCGTTTGGATGAGGTCCACATGAAGTTTAGTTCATTTGCCTGAAGGATGACGCATTCCCTCCACGCACGGTACTTTCATACACCACACATCATCACGAGTTACATCCAAAGTTTAGCACTGCATACCGCCCTCTTGTGAGATCCGCCCTTTGTTGTCTCGCTTCGCTTCAACCTGACTGCAAGGGTAAATCTAGAAATCATTGCTACTTTATCTGGTTTCTGGTATTCAACCTTCATCAGTGCGTCTCTAGTTGCCTGCTTTCATGACATGTCTGTGACAAATCAAAAGTTTTGAGGGTGATGAAACATCCTTGCCGTGGAAAATAAAGCTGCGAAATTGAAACGGAGCCTTAGAAACAAACGCGCAACATGAAGCAGACAACTTTCTGGCGCAGACCAGATCTGCAATTCAAACACTATTTTATTTTTGACAAGACTTGTTTTAATGTTCACATAACAGATAGAAAAACCAACACATCCAACAGAATGACTTGGATACATTTGCAAACGAATATGCATTTGTATACACGCATTTAATTGACATTGACTGCGCCGAAAAAACAGGAGAAAGTTAACAACGCGACGATTCGAACGTTCCTGTTACTGTACACTTACACACGGTTGCATGTGATGAAGGGGTTCTTCTCGGGTGATTTTATTCACAGTAATTGGTCATGTCAGCACCACATATTAATTGGAATTTGTTCCATTCCTTTTTTTTCAGTTGTCCATGTGCATCCCATCATCGAGTATCCGGTGAGTGCCGAGTGGACTTCCTGGAGACGAGAGTTCCCGCCGATTTGATCCTGAGGTCCTGGCAAGAATTTGAGGAAAAAACAGAAAGCCCTTTTTAAGCATTAATTTGCCAAATTGGGCAGTTCGCCACAGTGAAAGTGACCAAATAAGGGAACATGATGCGTAGAATTTATTGAGCGGTGGAAGGCAGTGGTGAAGGATACGAGATGGGTCTGTCGTAAAGGCTTGGCAGACATTTGCGAAACAAAACCCCGCCAAGGAATGCTAGAAACACTTCGAACTTGAGAGACAAACACAAAAAGCTTAACGAAATAGCAATTGTAGCATTCAATTCCTGGTGCGTTGACAAGTATTCTGATGAATGAGTTAACTTTCACTTCTTTATTTCACTGACATACTCAAAATGAAAGCTGTCCGCTAAATCGAAATACACGTAATTTACAAGTTACACTGATTGAAATTAATTTCACAATGTTAACAAACAATGAATGAATAAATACAAAACAAGAAATGAATAAGAATATTTAGTCCAACTAGAACTACATTTGTAGGGCAATAACAATAACATACGGCTAACAAGAATGCAATTAAATTATTGGCGTGAAAACTAACTGCAAATTAACGACAGTAAATGTTCATTCATGGGTTTCATTGAATAAACATTGACAGAGTACAATCCACGAAAAAATATGCACTCAGCATTATAATCATATCTCTAACACTGAAATAAAGTTGAAAGCGAAGTTGAAAACTTTTAAACATACAACACTGCGTATTTTCAAAGGCATTTGTAACAATTCTTCAACAAGAAAAACGACTTTAGATTCTTTAAAAGTTTTACACCTCAAAAAGCGATTGGTTGGTTTTCAAAGCGAGCGCACATATTTGTTCATACCACTGCTTCTAGATAAGTATACAGTTTCTACAACTCACTACGGACAGTGCTTATCAGGCGCATATCGCAGAAAGAATTAGCGTTTGGAGCTGCTTGACACACAAACCTTGGAAAAAAAGGATTACTCCTCACCTTTTCATACATACTCAACTCAAAAGCCATACAAAAATAAAATCTCTCTGGTATTTGTACAACTTAAATTACACAATTGCACAGTGGCATTGGATGTAATGAGAAGCATACATGCCTTTTGAAGTATCAGTGTTTTGAATTCGTTTGAACTGATATTGTGTATCATTCCGCATGGACATTCAACTTATTTCAAAAAGACTTTCTTCAACACTCAACTTTCACTTCACCAGCAACATCTCTGTACAATGTGTGAGGTGCACAGGTTAGTTATGAAATAAGCGAATTCAACTAATATGGGAGACAATTCAAAGCTACAAACATCTGAAAAATCTTAAATTGGTTCCACATTCCATCTAGGCAATACACGCCAGATAAGTGAAGTTAAAACTAAAAGGTGAAATATAAACCCTTTTTTAGGGGTACTATCATCCTCATCTTATTTTATCTTATCTTCCACTATCCTGTGGTAATCAATGCTTGGTCAATCTGTTTGGCTGAGCTAAATGTATTAAGCTTAAAATGCAATCACTCTTAAATGGCTGTCAGGGCACTTCAGCTTGCTTACTAGTTTGGCGCTGAACAAACTTAACTTTTTTTTAATATTTGTAGCTTCATGAGACTGGGTACCTGACTACATCACAACGTCTTGAAAACTGATCTGATTAGTGTGTGTCGTACGGTTATGCATGCAAACTCGCTTTGAAGATGCAATCTTTCCTGGCTTTTGTTTCGGCGTGCTGTTGATACAACTTGAAGGGCATGTCTCCATCATTAATCTCTGGCAGTATTTTCGTAACTTTGCAAGTTCAACAGAACTTGTAGAACAAAGGAGTGGACAGGAAAAAGTTTTTTCATTCACAAACTGTCTCACTCTAATAAACATGCCTAATAAACCCCAAAAACATTTGGAAAAAGACTGCCAATAAAAATAACAGACAAATAAAATATCCCAAAGGCCGCATTCGTAAAGCACTCTTTCCAAAATTATCCAACTCTAACTCTGTACAACACAACAGTTGGAAGTTTTATATTTCACTATCTATAAAAGCAGTTTGATTGTGGATTTCTTAGTGCAGTGTGAATGATTCTCACAATTCCGCAGAAAGAATCTCAGAACTTAAGTTCTTCACTTGAATGACTAGATTCAATGCAACAACTGCATCATGACACCAGTCTATTCTAGAATTCTGCACCTTTGGTAAAACATTTTCGAGAAAAACAAACTTTCATCCCGTTTGCTCTTGTTTTATGAGATGCATTTCCATTCTTGTCAAGTCTTTTCAAATACCCTTAAAATTATTTGCATGAAATAAAGTTGAATTTTTCATCTTCAAAGGCACAACATTCTTGTTTGGTAACTAAAACTCAACAGCGGTCTCATTACATGTAAAAGTAAAGAATGCTTTACGAATGCGGCCATCGTCCATGGTTACTGGTCTAGGCAGATTCCAACATGTGTCATGAAGGAGCAGTGATTTGCAACTGAGAATTCCTGTGCACAGCGTGGGCACTGTAGAGGCTCAGTGTTAGACCCCTGGCCGTCTGGTTCATCCTGGCCATCAATCTCAACGTTGCTTGTCAGGTAGGTATCCTCATCAGAAGTGTATCTGGGTCTGGCAATGCCTCGGGCAACCAACCCCTGAAAAAACCATAAAAGAAAAACAAAATCAAGTTACTGAATGCACATCAAGTAACTTTCTTAGCATTTGAACGAGTATCTAAAATCCCAAGGGTGAGTTCAACTGACTTTGTTTGCCATGCACATAGAGTGTACTCCTTATTTCTCTCTGCCCCAACCTCTTAGCTTTACCAGTCCATCAGAAGTCCAAAGCAATTTCATGGCTTATTCTATAATCTCTGCTCAAACCTTGTTTCTATTTGGTTCTCTTGGCTTAACTACCAGATGTATGCCTAGCTGCTTAATGTATTTACTACTAAGACTTAGCACCTAGTAAGGATGATTTTACGGCCTGTGATGCTGATAAAACTTGGGTTTTCTTTCACATTGATATTTGTTAAAATGTGCATTTATTTGGACAAACTCTCTGGACAAGTTTTTTTCTTTATACGACACTGTTTTCATTCATGTCAATTTGACCTTTATAACTACCACCATGCTATGACCAAATGTATTCAATCACTGCCACCAATATTGCACGCATATAGCAATGTATTATTGAATGATGCAAAAAAACAGTGGCTGATGCAGGATTTGAACCAGCGACCTCTGGATTTTGATTCCAGCGCTCTGCCATCTGAGCTAATCAGCCGTTCCCAGCAGGATATTTCTTTACAGAATTCAATAATACATTACACTACAGCCCAAAGCTTAAATCAAAACAATGCATTCTCTTCTCCAATCTCTTATCTAATTTGGTTCAGGGGAGAAATTAAGAGCCCAGGATATTAAAAAATAAATATGAAGAATCAAAATCTCTGACAAGACTGCACAACTGGATGAACTCAGCAACAAAGCCAAGTACCTGTTACTTTCCGACAAGATTAATGTCTAAATTAAGATTAAGTTCCGAGAACAAGGTGTCATTATTTATGTACGCTGAGGGGGACTTGGTAAAAAACCTGAAATGGTTTGTATAAAACTAATGAAATAACCTACAAGTACATTTCTCTGTAATTCGTGTTTTTTAACTCCATCGACAAATGTTAACCATGTGTAATTCCTTTTCTTTCTGAATTAAGATTACTGTTGGTTTAGTAGACATATGGGTACAAAGGCAGATTATCTTTACTAACACGTCCCTAGTGAAATAACCAGGAATGCTCATCTCATTTATGGAAGGGGGGGGGCTGCAACGGGGACTTTGAAAGGAAGACATTTTCTTACCCTGGGTGGTTGATACACTGGCGCTGACCCAGTTTTTAGGCCAACATTGGGTGTTGTGTAAGTATTTTCCTGTTCAAGCGCAGCCAACTGTGAATAATTCAATACAACATGCAATGCAAGATAAATGCGAATCCAAACTGCAATTATCAAATTCAAAAACATGTTTAAAAGTGGAAATAACAGTAACGTTAGTAATTACCGAAAATGGGTCACTTGGGAGACATTCCCATAGGAATCCGATCTTAACCAAACTTTGCATGTTTTCCTTTCAGACCCTAATCTATCATCTCTCCAAATGTGGACAATAAAAATTTTCCTCCTTTTGGTAGCTGGAGCATTAAGGAGACATTAAAATGTCTCCCAAGCGACCTATTTGGAAATATATCATTTCATACTTGTCATTTCATCCTAGCCAATCATAAGTTTGGGAGCTTTTATTGTCCTTATAGATACAGATATTCTGTCCATTACTACAAAGATTTTAACGTTCTTCTATTGCTTTTCTTTATGAATGTAATTTGACTCTGCCTTTTTCTCCTGTAGAACCTAATTACTAAGGTCGTTGTGAATGTTAATGCTGGGTGTCGGCACAGTCATCATAATGTGAACACCAAGACTGAAGTTACCTTTCTTGAAGTGCTGTGTAATCTGTGTCGCAGGATATCAACGTTGGACTGAAGACGCTCTCTGTCTCTCCGTTCTTGCTCAAAATCATCTTTATAAGTCTTTGCCTGAAAAAAAAAAAAAATCACGAACACCCTGATACAATGTCTTACAATGTCAGGTGGATGATTTTATCCTGATATCAAAGTTAATCTATACTGGACTGTAAAAGCTGATTTGCTGAAAACAATGGGTGGTTTCTAGAAATGTTTAAGGGCCTGTCGACAGTCAGGTGTGCAAAGTCCCTGCATGTTACCGGTACATATTATGAACTGTTTGCTTTTTCAATTGGTCCATGAAACCCCTCTTCCCTTTACTATAATTTGGTACAATCATTCCAATGCTGAGAGTTGTTCTGCCGGATTTTCTCTCTATATAAACCAACGTTTTAGGTTTCTGTACCTGCTGCTCAAGAAGCTGAATCCTTTCCTTATCTTCCGCTCTCTGCGGAAGTCCACTTTCATTCTCCCCTCCCTGGATGTACATCTTGAGTGCTGACAACTCCTCAACGAGCTCTGAGATGCGGTCTTCTCGCTGTGCCACCTGGTGCTCCAGGGCCAAGATGGCTGCATCGGTGTTCTTGCGTTGTTCATCCTTTAGCTTCTGTAGCATGACATTCAGCCCGTTGATGCTCTGCTCCAGATCCCGCTTTTGCTGTTCCAGCACGGTGATCTTGGACTGCTGGTGTTGGTTGGTCTTGGTCAGTTTGAGGACATGAACCTCACGTTGCTCATTGTAGCGCTGCCATCTTGTGTTCATGCCGATCACCTCACGGAGTTGGTCCGTCAGCCGTGAGTTCTCCTTGTCCAGTTGCTCTACCTGTCCTTCAGCAATCTTGAGTCTGTCGGCCAGGCTCAGGTTGCTCTCCTTTTGAACTGCCATCTGTATCAGATACAAAAAGAAATGTTCCAAGTGAGTCCATCAGTCCAAACATTCTAATTGTCACTGAAACAAAAGCAGGGAAAAACAACTAGTTATTCTCGTTACTTAAAATCATGAATGTGACTCCATGGTTAATTAAGGGTAAGCTGCAGCCAGGTAAGCAACTTCCGCAGACACATGGGCTGTTTATAGTTAGCCATAGCCTTAGTGTTTCAGGTACATCTTGAGTAACAACAACTATGTGACGGACCCTTCATTTGCTCTCAAGCACTGTCCAGCACAACATGTCTGAGAAAAGATGTCCGCCATGCTCCTGGCTTGTTTTGTGTTACTGATGAGAATGATCTTAAACCACACACTGAAACAACTGCACAACAGTTCAGACACGTACATGTACCTCTCGCATAGCTATCCAAAATTATTTTACATGTTCATAAATACTGAAATATTTTATACTGCATATCATGCTCATGACTGATGCTGCCTTTTAAACTTCAAACAGTTTTGAAAATTACACAACAGATGTAAATAATTGTGAATCATCATAGGATTTCAAGGAATATACAAAGGATGATGACACCGACACAGTTCATGAGCAATTTCTACCAGAACCTTCTGGTCAGGGAACTGTTGAAGAGTGGCAACAATGCACTTGATTGCACACACTGGAATAAGGATTGATGTGACAATATCCCCTCATCCCCTTCATAAAAAAAAAGGAATGAGAAAAAAATGTAACAAATATTTCAACAACTTTATAGATTAAACTGACAGCGGTCCCCCAAAATGGTGTGAAATAATACCAGTCCACAGACTTACAAAAATACTTACAATATTTCTAGGTATATTGAACACATCTGAGAAAAAAAGCCACATTTTCATCAATTTATAGAATGTAGGGACTATATAGTTTTACTTTTAGAATTTTCCTGTTACAAGTACTTCCCCCAAAAGGGAAAATACAAGGAAACCCCTTGTGGACTTAGGTTGAGTAAATATCTGTTTAAAATATCCGTGTGATTAAAATCGTTTCATAACAGGATTTTTGCTGCTTCATCACAGCCCTGTGACGGTGACAAACACAATTTCTTCTACTCTAAGTACACTGTATTGTGAATGCATAAATTCATGTGTTCCTGAGTCACTGTATGGAGTGCAGTACCTATACTGTAGGTGTACATGTACATGTATCCTGTACAAGGGCCTTGTATAAGCTTCCCTATGGCCTTCATGATTAGCATAATCTATGAGCCATTATACACACCCACCACTGCATGCACCAGCCATGCATGTACTGCGTGGGAAGGGAAGTGCATACAGCTCAGGTACATGGAAGGCAAAGGTGGTTTTTATTGACCTCAGCTCAACAAAAATTGCCCTACACTGAGAGTAAGGACCTTTTGCCTACTCATCAAACGGAAGGTCATAGGGCATACTCTTTCTCAGTCTGGGTTTTTCCAGAATTGCGCAATAACGCAAGGCATCAATACTGGCCAATGAACACTCTGCAATGTGGCACCATGGGTTTAGAATACAATGTACAAAGATTGGCACCTGTACAAAGTGGCGGGCTGATGGCACTATGCCAATAAAAGATTGGGAAAGTTGCCAAGAAAGCTATGCCTATTTATTTCCTTTTGCAACATACTCTCATCAAGTTAGGGGACACCAGGAAAAATCCCAAAGAAATTTCCCCAAATATCACATTTCCTAATTTTAGAGCTTTCACAAGATCATCAGTTCCATGGTTACTTTCAGGCAAATTTTGATCTGTGCATTACTTTGTCTTCAAACAAACAAAAATGTTAACATATAAGTACCAAGAAGCATATAACTATAACCATTAAAGTTTTCATAAGATGTTCCTTCAGGGCATTGATAAATAAGCATAATTTCCAGTAATCCATCAACATTCATCGACATAATTGTAAACAGCAGACAAACGAAAACTACGCCTCACACAGACAAGTGCACCAATCTTAATTAACAGACTGTAGGAAGCATTAGTTTTGGTTCAAATGAGGCCATTTCTTGCTGCTCAAAGTTACACTCAAAATGTTTGTTCAACAGTAAGTTTTCTCCTCCTGCGCCTGTCCAGGCCAGTTGACCATGAACCATCATCAACACTCATACTCGGGGAGTCCACAGTTGAGAAAAATCAGGTTGTAGTGGCAAACAAAACACAAAAACACAACTTTTTAAAGGTCTGAAACACAACACGCCCACACAAAACTGGAACAAGTAAATCATGGCATCTTCTTCATCCAAATTTAGCAGTAACAAGGTCAAGTTACCTTAACGTCAAATCAATTAATTTCTTTGTTACAAAAATGAAGCTCCAAGAGCTATATGACGGTACTAGTTTGAGCAGAGCTATGTTTTACTTATTCCAGAAGCTGGCTAAAAATGCTCTTCTATAACATTTACCTTCTGCATGGACACATCCAAGACTTTACTCTCCAGATTTTGAGCTTTCTCTTTCCAGGTGTTAAGTTCTTGGGAGACCTTTCCCAGCTGGTTTTGTGAGGCAGACAAGTCCTCTTGAAGTCTTTTTGTCTCTGCATTGAGTACTCTGCACATCTCACTGCATTCTTGGAGATCTTTGTTGCGGCGTTGACAGGCATCTTCAAGGTGCACAATCTTTGCCGTCTTGGCATCATCGTCGGAGGATTGAAGAAGGGTCTCTAGTTCTTTGGTTTTGGTTAAACTGGCTGAGAGCTGTTCGTTCGCTTCAAGTAATTGATTCTTTAAACATTCAACTACCTGAAAGTGTGATACAAGAAAAAATATACATGGGTGGGGTTAGGTCAGTTGAAAAAAAATTCCACTCAAGAGAAAGAAGTACATGTGAGTTTTCACCAGTTGCTAAGACTAGGCCTGTGACTTAAACCCGACTTTCAATACCTTTGTATCAAAAACCAATTTTATTTCATAATAATCGGTGCTAACAGGCTTTTTGATGCCTATATCCATCTATATCAACATTTATTGAACATAAAAAACCTTCAATTTCATTCCCTACAAAAGTATCATTCAGAGAATTTCAAATGATTCATATCAAAAATATTAGTTCTGCGATCTTCTACAAATTTGACGAGCCTTCCAGGATATTACCCGACACAAAATAACTTGGCCAAGTGCCAGGTTTAGCTTTTGTTAAGCAAAATATTTTGCAATACCAGTTGCAAATTCAGGGGAATTCCCAGCCAGAACCCAGATGCTTCCCTCTAAAGTGAGACCATGTGATTGGATGATTTAAATGTGAACAAGGTACAGAAGGGTAGGATAAATCAACAAGGTAGTACCAACAAAAAGACCTCAACTACCACTTTGCATACAATCATACTCCACCAATGTACAGGTACACCAATAAACAAGGCTAACCATCAGACAATAACACTTTAGAAGACAAGGCACAACGGACCAAAACTCATGCCACTCCCTTCCATCCAGTCAGCCAATCAGAGTCTACAAGTACAACATGTTTTTTTTCTTATCTGATCAAGCCTGGATGCATCGACCAACCTTAAAAGTATTTAACATTGTCCAAATCATCACAGAGAAGCTGGGTGGAGCAATGGAGGGAAAAAGGGGGGTTATAATTTTGGGGGGATGGCTTAAAATTATCAAAGGATAAAAATGTCTGCAATGGCGGAATGAGTGCCCTGCTGTGAAAAGCAAAAATGAAAAGATGATTTACGCACCTCACTTTCTACTTTTGTTCCGATATCACCACTTTTCTTCAATTCTTTCAACTCTTTCAGTAATTTCCCATTTTCACTGATCAAGCTATTGACAAAAGCACGGTCATGACCAGGTATAAAGATCTCATTCTCAGCCAGGTCAACTGAGGTGTCGCATCCAACCTGATATAATCGGCTTTGTAAATTTCGCACAGCAATGTCCAGCTTGGAATTTCTATTCTTTTCTGTCTCAAGTTCCTTCTTGCTTTTTTCAAGTATATCAGTGATAGTTTCAATGGCTTTCACTCGGAGGCGAAGGTTGCCATTCTCTTGGTAAAGTTCCTTCAATTCAGATTTACAAGAACAGCAATTGCCAGAGTCTGATAAATTCATTGAGCTTGAGCTATGTTTCTGTAACCGACCAGCATGACTAACAATCTTCAATATGTTTTTCACAGGCACCGGGTTCAAATGTCGCTCAACAACCTCGGTCTGCAGCTCTGATGCCCTGTCTTCTTGGCCTTGTATTTTCTTTGCATTCTCACAATTGTCATCTGCCAGTAAACCGTCGCCTTGGTGTCCAGTCTGATTTGCCCCCTCGTCTTTGGCAGAAGCCACGCCCTTTGCAACACCAGTAAAGGGCCAATCACCCCCAGTCGCATCAACAGGAGAACCACGGGATGACCCACGTCCAGGCCCCGGTGATGTGGGCGTACATCTCCCCTGGTCCCCTTGTTGATGCTCAGTACCGTCCCCTCGCCTCCACTTCAAATGCCTGCCACTTGTCGAGTGAGGGTGATGGTTGCAGGCATGGCTAGTGGAGGTAGGGTTGGTTGAGTTGTGCTCCTTTGTCCACGCTTGAGCTTCGGCGTACATGTAGTTTGCACCACAACTCGGAGGCCTAGGCCTATGTGCAAATTGTACCGGGGCCGTGTCACCCATTTTCAGTTCGACAAACAACAGGGACAGAAATGAAGGCGAGGTGTGGAAAAGACCGAAACTACGCTGCCATTCACTCAGACCTGTACCAACTGGTGAAGAATCACCACAACTCCGCCAGCTTTATACACGGTACCCCCCTGAATGATCAATCGATGACCGCTATGCTAAACTAGGCAGTAGCGTGGCGTCGGTTGAAATTGCGACATCTCCGTTTTGCAAGACCGCTTTGGAAACTCCAGTCTAGGGACTGACTCACGCAGCCACACGATGGAATTCGAGGGCGCTGTTCTCCAGCCTATCTAGCCGACCGTGCATTATTAAAGAGACTTTCGCGTATAACATACATCCGTTCGCCGGCCGCGCCCATACCATGGCATGGCCATGGGTGAGCGGATCAGTGGCTCGAGCTTGCAGTGGTCATCTGCTTTTCTGCTATCAGAGAAGTGGAAATGCAGATTTTACGTTCTGGTAACATGCAATTTCGACTTTTCTACTGCCGTATAGGATTGGTCCGCAGAAAACTCGGTTAAGTATTGGTTTCTATACATCTTCACTCCACCCAGAACGGAAATGGTGGTAACCTACAGGTTCACGACCCCGTTCACGGCCCATTGAGGACAGAACAGCAAATGGCCACTTTTTGGTCACCTGTGCTGGTAGCAGAAAAGCAGATGGCCACTTTTCGTCTATACCGATGCCGTGCAATCCCCGTCATGTGATTGGTGGATAAACCCGCCATTCGAAATACACCAATGAATTTGATCACTGGTTACATGGTTAAGAAGTGGAATCCCCAGAACAGTGTGAATTTTTTTTACCTCGTCGCTGGCTATGATGAGGTGGATTATGCAGGCTGGACACGCCACTGAATTATTCGTTTTATTCAACGGCACGCAGGACATATTTGTTCTCAAAACAGAAGATGATTTATGCGTGTATTAAATAAAAAAAAATGGTTCACATTCGTGCAGTGGTAAAAATAATTTCATCCGGTGACAGATGAAATGTTCCTTTTCACTCGGCTTCGCCTGGAAGCGAACATTTCATCTGTCACTTCATGAAGTTATTCTGGCTACTGCATTCATTAACATTCATAATTTGTATGCTTCGTTGAACCACAGAGAAAGGAAAATAAATAAATAACACGCCCGATTCTGTTTCTGTTTTCTTTTTGAACTATTTACACGCCTTAAGGAGACAGATACATGTACTTTCTAACATTAAACCTTTGCAAGTCTACGTCGTGCAGAAATCTTGTTATACACCAACCAAGCAATAATAAACTGATCTCAAAAGCTCAACAAAAGAAGAACCGGAAATAGACTCTTACGATCAAACAACTCGTTCAAGTTTGAACTTCGTACGCAGTCTCACAGTAGACAGACGTGCGTGAAGTTGATTCGACGGTCTTTAAAGAACGGGGGATCATGACAGAAGCCTCCTCGTGGCGGTTCCTGGACACAACAGTGCTGTACACTGTGCAAGCACCGGTCGACTAATTCCGTCAACAGGCTAGATGACGCCGAACCCAGAAATTTAGGTGGTACTCGAAACCATCTCCCCAGCCAGAAGACCGTGGCGATTAGATGGCCTCTCTCCGGATCCATGTCGCTGCGCTCTTTTCGGGACGACAGACCGTTTAGTCCGTTTATAGCCCGCATTATATCTAGACTATGCATTACATTAAGATTTACATCCACTTGTTTCGGCTCGGCTGTGCAGATTCAATTAAATAAAGGCTTGGGCCATGGGGACACGAAGTCGTATTTTAAATAACACCCCAGTCACACATACAAGAATTAGTCACACCCAATACCAAATAATTTACGTCTCAGGAGTTGCAAAAACAATCGATACCAGGACTGATAAGAAAGACAGGCAACAAATCCAAACCTTCCAATAGTAAGCAAAATGTCATTACCTTTGGAGTTGGCCCAGTGGTGTCATAGTAGCTGTTTTCCGAACATTATCGGAATAAATCCATCCTAAACCAGGTGACTATACGGAGAGGAGGTCCAGTTCAATCATGCTATAATCGCTGTGAGTCCAACATGTGGAATAAATCTGCGAGGAACTGACCCAAATATGCCTTTGTTCTGCAATACGCACTGCGTTATATACGCGCAGTCAAGCTTCGCCAGTAACATCACGGTGGGATTGGCTAGCAAGAACCTGCTTAATCCCGTTTTTAACCAATCAGTAACGACGTTTGTGCGCACTCACTGTACATGTGGTGTGCGCGCGTTCTGAGGTCACTATGAATTTGACATCCGCCAATTTTTGGCATTATGCATACTCCACTGTCTATCATTTTGAAAGAGTCCTCACGTCACATCACTGCACAGGTGGAACCTGGGAAATTCGGCGTATTTTTATTAAAGCTATGGGCCTATCGCTCTGAATACAAGCAAGAGGGACGAAATTACGTCACACAAAAATCGTTTGTCGTGACAACCGTATACATGTTATACGTATTGTCCATATACAACTGAAAACGGATTAGCTTGAGGTAGCTGCTTCGAACCTTTCCTGTCTGACATACAGTACAACTCAAGTTAGACTAGCAGCCTCCCCACAGGAGGATGCGGTAGCTAGCTGGCCTCTGACAACAAATAAAACATGGGCAAACTGCCAGGGTGATCATGATGACGACAGTGTTGGTAACTTCTGTCGGTCGCTTTTAGAACCATTCACCCGCACTATGATGCAAAACCAAAAGAGCTGTTGATTTCACGAGATGAGTATTTTGGACACAGTGCCTATTATTTTCGTTATTCTGTTAACAGACCCCTTCCAGCTGGTACTTGGTAATACATGTAGTTCCTTTAACAGGACAAAATCACTGGAAATGTGCGTGAAGTGCAACATCCGGGCTACTCTTCCCTGAGTGCTCGAAGCTGAACGATGAACAAGATGACCAGTCTACAGAAAATCATGGCTTGTTTTCACTGGTACTTTTTGAAGAGCATAATTAAATGTACGTGAACCAGTCAAACACCAGCTGGCTGCGCACTGGCCAATCACAGCGCTTGTTGGACGCACCGTTTTCAAACGTGCTACGTGTATGCGATGCGTTTATAAAACAATTTACGTGCCGAAGATTCAACCTGTTTTTATAACTTTTTGTGGATTCTAATGTTAAAATGTCGTCAAAGAGGTAATTCTTTCAAGTGCATAATAATCTGTAAACTACTTGTTTCTATATTTGTAATAATAAACGAAGAGAGAATGTTCCGTGTCGTATTCTAGGCTAGATAGCTAGACAAGCTCGATGAACGTTAGACATGTTGTTAGAGCATGGAGGACTAGGAAAACATGGCTGCTGGCCTGGTTGTAGGTTACTTCATGGAGGAATGTGTTTTTTCCTCCATGGTTACTTCGCCCCATCCCCGAATCACCCCATTTCCACTTAACCCCTCGGAAATCGTTCATTTTTTTCTTTAGTTTAACAGACATGACAGAGGAAGCTAGGCACTAGCCCCACAAGTGTGGCACGGACTCTCACTCCCGATCCTAAGGATGGATGGGAGTGAGAGTCGCTGCCACACTAGTGGGGCTAGCTAGGCACATGCTAGGCCTAGTACTCAGTGGTAGTAGTTTTAGTACTACATTTAGTACTGGTAGGCCTAGTAGTACGCCAAGTCACGTCAGCATGGTCAGACAGGTGATTTATGTGTGACATGTCAGAGCTAGGTTCTGCTGTCTTGTCAGACTACACAGTACACTAGTGCAAAAGCAAATGTTCAATGTAGGCTTATCATAGCCTATTTTCGACCGTAGGTTGCATGTATGCCTAGGCCTATTTATTCACCAGAATTAATTGCCAGAGATGAAGCACAGATCGTGTGCTTTTAGGTTCTTTTTTTTAGTCTGTTAGTACCCCGCTCTGTTTTCAAGAGGTACCAGTTGGTCACACAAATTAATTCAAACACCGAAAATTCTCGAAGGAAAGTTTTATATACAAGAGGAGGGAGCCTGGACTTGGGGACACTTGGGGAGACATTACGTTTTGTTTCGTTAATCCAACCATCATGACCACGCAGGTAGAAAAACACTGTCAACAAGGGTACGGTAATCATGCCAATATGACTGAGTTGCACAACTTCACGTTAGTCGCAGCTCCACGTAATATTTGTATCACTTTGAAATAGAGGATGAGTAATAAACCCAATGCAAATCCAACTATTCATTTCACCAATGTAGCCAACAGTGAGTGAATGCCATAGAGTAACTCCTTGCCCTTTTGAGAAACCCCTTTCCGAGCACCCCAATTTGGAGAGGCAAACACCTCAAGCACTGACATGACTGACTGGCAAAGTGGAAATGGGGCGAAGAGGCGATGGGGCAGTGTGGTTAGGGGCGACGTGGAAATGGGGCAAAATGACTGTAAAGTGGCCATCTCGGCTGTGAGGTCATGACAGTGGTCATAAACTGGGGCAGACAGGCATCACAGGTGAAGTACTGTCCACACTCCTCTGTCCACACATGCTTGAACCGTAGCATAGACATGATAGAGGAAGTCCGGTCTGAGTAACTTCATGAACTTGAACTCTATGACATGTACGAATTGCCTCTTTTAACATTTGGACATCTATGCTCATTTTATTGAAGTTTGGCTTTTGAGTCAACTCGTGCCTTGGGCGACTGGTACCTTGGGAAACTTGGACCTTGGATGACTTGTACCATGGGCAACTTGTAAGTGTACCTTGGACATTTCGTACCTGGGACAACTCCTACCTCGAATTAAGGCCATGTTGACCAGTGTCAGTTGACCGCGCCCACTCATGGACTGACGTTGACGGTCTCATATTAATGTCACCGTACCGGCGTAAAGGGAAGGTAGTGCAGTCAAACGGCAAATTACGTGATGAACTATGACTAAGTAACCAAATTATTGTTCAAGTTTGCAATACTAATAAGCTCTGAGCAGGCTCTGATTTCTGTGGAGGTACAAGTTGTCTTTACTGGAGGTAAAAGTTGTCTTTACTGAAGGTACAAGTTGTCCAAGGTGCAACTTGGCAAAGGTACGAGTTGGTACAATTAGGCAAAGTAACAAAAAATGTTTCTTGTCCATTTTTTTCATAACAGAGGAGGAGGTGGTGCTTCTTATTATATTTTCACGATGGCCGAAATCTGAGATTTGGGACAATTTTTGGTTCAACAACATGTTTGCATAATAACTGAAATTGTGTTTACTCCATGCCCTTTGTTTCCACACTTCATTTATTCTTTTCTTGACTTTAGTACAATAGAATATGTTTTAGTATTGACTCAAACAGGGGCAATAAAACAAACGATAGCTACGCCAGCTATGCGATGTAGAAAGTTACCAAGAGTCTGAACAGAGAAGCGAAGGACTTGCACAGACGTCATATGAGTGCATTCCCGATTGACTGTTGGGGAATTTTTTTAATTTTAAAAATAATTTTTTTTTTAAATGCACATGGGTCCAAAAAAGGAAGTGGGTGGAGACGAGAAACATTTTTCTTAATTTTACTTCGCGTTATGTTGCGTTGACGTTACGAGTTGTCCAAGTTGACCTGTTTCCAAAGTTTGACGCATGCATGTCTCACAGACCTTGCACTTACAGCACACAAGTTACAATTTGCTTATGATAGTGGTAGGCCTAGTGGTCATGGTGCTTTCTTGTCATGTTTAAGCATGTTGTGGAAACATGTCCATAGACATGACTAACTGAAAAATAATGGCAAAAGTTTCAGCCACTGAATCAGCATGATTAGGAATGTTTCACCAGGAACATGTATAGTCGACTCTCGTAACAAAGTTGCAGGGACCAGACAAATTACTTTGTAATAACCAGGACCTTGTTATACAAGTAATGTATAAACAAAGAAACACATAACAATTCAAGAAATTGGGATTCCTGATACCTGTTCTTTATAGCAGTAGTTTGTTATAACAGTGTTCTTTATAATAAGAATCAACTGTAAAGGTTCTTAACATGCTTACATGTCATGTCATGCACGTGTGTAGGCTGTGAATTTTCCAAAAAAAAATTAAATTAAGGGCCTCCGATTGGAAACCCAATTTATTCAGGAATTTCAAGACAGTTGTTTTCGCAGTTTTACCGAAGAAATGGTTTGAATCACTAATGCATTCTATAACCATTAATCACAAATTTAGATGCCGAGAGAGTATGAAGCTAGAGGTAGCCGAGTGCCTGGAGCACTCCTTGGAGCAGCTGCGTGACATCTGGGATGAAATCGGCATCTGTGAGGAGCAACGGGTTGAACGGCAGAACGTGGTGTTGCACCACATGCGCAACCTGCTGAGTGAGATGGTGTCTGAGGAGAGAGACCTACGACGGAGACTGCTGGCCAGCGTAGAGAACTGTGGTCAGGAAGTGGTCACCATCAGCAAGGAGCTGGGCCTTCAACCCTTCCAGGTCAGGGTCCACGATTAACAGAGTTACTTAGCAGAAAACACTAACGAGCATAGTGTGGATGGCAAAATTCTGTCTAAAACCGGTAACAGGCAATTAACATATCAGGGCATTTTGGCTGGTAGCCTAGTTTTGCTGAGCAACTATTTTTTGTGCTTCATTGCAAATTTGTTCGCCGACCAGCTCTTTGGAGTGAACTGAAATGACAGGATTAATACTTGACTCGTTAGATTGTCCATTACTAAACACCCTGCGCCACAATGTCACACGCCTTGTACATGTAGCACATACTAAGCATGATGTTGAAAAAAATTGTACCAGATCCTGTCATTGAAATCTGCCATACAAAAAAGAGCAGCTACATCTGAACGTATTGCATAATTGGATCAATGTGACAATTTTACACATGATCCTGTGATGTGGCCATAATTTGCATTGGGTGTGTGCAGTTTTGAAAGGTGTGAGTCTAAAAAAAATACTAGACATTCTTTTTAACTAGCAGCTGGCTTGTATAACAATAGTTCTAAATTTTACTTGGTTTACTTGAACTTTACTAGTTCCTAGCTGGTATTCCATTGTACCAAAAAATTACAAAAATCCGACTCCAGATCCGACTCAAGCAGGCTCTGTTTCCACTTCACAGCCTGAGGAAGGACTGACCATTCTGCAACTGGAGAAGTCCCTACGTCAGAAGGTGGAGAGCTTGAACAAGGAGAAGTCTGAACGTATGGCCAAGCTCAAGCAATTGAAAGACAGGGAGCAACACCTGTGTGATCTGCTCTGCACCACTCCTTACTACATCCCCAGTGGTACAGTGCCCACGACAGAGCAGCTGGAGACACTGAAAGACCACATCCAGACACTGACCACAGAGAAGGTCGGCTTTCGCAATTTATTTTTCAGCTGTGAAATTTCCCCAGAATTTGGAGAGGACCTCCTGACCACTAGCTTGGCCACTGAAATGCAAATTTTGTTTCTTGTAGGAGTCAAGACAGCAGATCTTAAGCGGCACCAAGAAAAAGATCATCTCCCTTCTAGCGGACCTTGAGCAGGGGCCCAACACATCCTTTGAGCGAGACATCGTCTGCGAGGAAGAAGACTCCTTTCTCCTTTCCAAGGAAAACATGGAGGCCCTCAGAGTTTTACATCAAGAGGTGGGTTTTCCCTAACTCTCCTGAATCCTCCAAACTCCTTCGGGCGGTTTTGGAGGATTTTCAAGGATTGAGGGTGAATGGCAGAAGTGCACGACTTATTGTATGGGACACTCTGGCTGAGTTCGGGCGGCTTGTTCTTGTATGTTCACGAACCGCTTGATTTGTTGTTCGTTAGTCGGCCGCTCAAACACCGGGAACGTACAACCGGTTATTGCTGGTTGTTGCATGCATCATGGCATCAGAGTAAACTTTGGAAAGCTGGGCTGAATTCTTTCCTATTTAAAAAGGAACATTCATTTCTTTGCTATGGAAAATGATTATTGTTTATTTTGTAAAACTTCCCATTGTCTCTGGCTTTGTGAGCCATCTCGATATTTTTTTGCGGCTGTTCAAAAATCAAAAACTCATGAGTTTTTCCGTGTGTTCCTGTAAAACCCTGATGAGGAGGTGGTGCGTGATCCTGTTCCGCGAACAGTGTTCTTGAGTCGTGTTCCCACCGTTCAAGCGCAAGAACAAGAAACCCGTGTCAAGAACAGGCCACCCGAACTCAACCTCTGCTTGAAGGTCGTGGGTTACACCTTGTGTTGTTTTTGCTTAGTCATTCATAAAGTCAGCCTTGTATTTCTTTTGAATCAACTGCACTGCTCAAGAATGCCATTCACTTTGCCGCAACATAATTACAGGAATTGCCGGTGGATTTTGAAGGATTGAGGCAGTAGGCACACCTCCAAGTAACATTTCCAAGAAATTTTGGAGGATTGAGGTAGAATCCAAGTTTTTCAACTCCAAATTGCAGGATTTGGGATGATTGTGGAGGGTCCCTGGCAAGAAGGGGTTGGGGGTAGGGATGGAGTAAAACCAATTGGTACTTCCATAGAGTCGCCTCATGATGAGCAGAAAAGGATTTGGAGTGTAACCGAGTATCAGAAGCCCAAATGTAGAATAGCACTGATCTTGACATTTCTTTTCATGCATCGGGCTTTTTTCAGAACTTTAAAACACTTGCCTTTGACTTTGTTTTACCAGCACACGTCACCATGTTAACTCTTTTCCACCACCAGTTGGAATTTAAACAGAAGGAGAATCAGGGAATTGCTGATCATCTGCGAGAGCAAATTGCCAGCCTGTGGAACCGGCTGTTGTACCCTGCCGAGGAAAGAGATGAATACTTAGCCAGCCACCAAGGCTACAAACCCTCAGACATCAAAGTGGTAAGATGATGGGATGATTTGCTTGACAGGGCGTGTTTGTTGCATGTACATAAGTCCAGTCACAAGCTCTTTCGTTAGATCAGCCACAATTAACAGGGTGAACGGTGGCAAAGGAAGGCGGGACTGTAATCTCTGTGCCCACACAAATATACCACAGATTTGAAAATCTGGAAGAGTTTTCCATGCCAGAAACTCATGTGGGGTTTCATGCAAAGAGAGAATGTTGCATGGTTGTCAGATCTACCTCACTGGTTCCTGCAGAGGACCCACAGCTCACTTTTTCTCTTTGTTTACCATCAGCTCCGTGAGGAGTTTGCCCGTCTGGAAGAACTAAAGATGCAGAACCTGAAGCGAGTGACACAGGCCAGCCGTGAAGAGATTGCCCTCTGGTGGGACAAGTGTTACTTCAGCAGGCAACAACGCAATGAATTCGCTGGCTTTTATGATGGTGAGTCTTCAAAAACATAACATCTCGAGTGCAGGATATTTTTACTTTTGGATGGAAGAAGCCTTGATGCTTTATTTAAAAACCTACAAACTCTTTGATTTTAAAATATCATGAACCCTCTCGCATTCAGTCCTGATTTCTCAGTCACCAACAGAAGGGTTCTTTCTGTAACTAGCTCTATTGAATGTTTTCCGTTAATTTTATTTTCAATAGCTGATTTCTCCATTTTGTTTGTAAAGAAAGATGTTCTGTTACAGAAATCAGGTTTTGGAATTTCCTTTTCTAGCTGTAGTGTGTTTGATTTTTAACCTTCCATTTTTCAGATGAGTTTACCGAAGAGCTCCTCCTACAACATGACGAGGAGCTGGCTAGAGTGAAGGCATACTATGAGAAAAACAAGGAGATCTTAGAATGCATCAAGAAGAGAGAGGAAATGTGGAAGCAAATGCTGGAGTTTGAGGTAAAAGATGACAGATTCACCCAAAGAAGAGGACGTGCACGGATTTATCAAATTGAGTCCAAATATTTTTTTCCCATGTGTCATTAACCTCCAAGGAAATAAGGTCATTGAAATTAAACATACTAGTAAATATGCACTTTTTGTCCCCAAAATTCACTCGTTTGCACCATCACCTCAAGTTAAATTCTTTTTTTCTGTCCATATGTTTTGTCGACCTCTGCAGAAAAGGGCCAATGATCCTAATCGTTACAACAACAGAGGAGGTAACCTTCTCCAAGAAGAGAAAGAAAGAAAGAAGATCAACAGAGACCTCCCCAAGGTATTATGCTTTGCCATCTCTAATGTATATTGAGATTTCTTGAGAGTATTTGAAAGAAAAAAGTTGGATAAAGAATCAGGATGTCAACCACACAACAACCTGATTTTAGGCTTTTAAAGTTTGGATAATTTTTATCAATTTCATATTCAAACATTTCTTGGTAGTTTGTGTAATTTCCTTTAGTGTTTGTGACACATTTGTTTTTAATTCTTTGCTCTTCAAATCAGTTGGAGAAGATTTTGGCAGAGCAGATCAGCAGCTATGAAGAGAAGACGGGAGCACCGTTCTTGGTGGATGGTTGCCGATTTATGGACTACGTCCAAATGCAGTGGGCTGCCCACGAACAGGAGAAGCAACTACGGAAAGAAGAACGGGTAAGATTCCAGTCCATTCGATGTGCTTGTACATGTGACTATCCCCCACTTCCACTGCCACCACGCCAAACCAGAGGAAAGACCTGTAAGATAATGATGTCGTGCTTTATTTACATGTGGGCTTTCTTATGGCAATGACACTATCTGTAGAGTCCCTGTAATAAAGAGCACATGTACACAAAACGTGACGTCACGTTTTACGTCTGTTGAATGATGTAATGTACAAAATAAGGTCAATCCACCCTGAGTTGAAATGCACCTTCACCGGTAAAAGCAAGACAGAAGTTTTCCAGCCAGGTTCTTAAACCTGTTCGGCGTGCACACAAAGACCATACATTCCAGAATAAACTTGTTGCACCTACTCAAGGTTCTTCACGTCAAATGCACATAAACTTGCACACCTATGCAGTGAGTTGCCACCAAAGGACTGTCAATTTCATTGAAAAACACCCCCTCTTTTGTTCCCGCTCAGAGCAGCTACTACTTAAAATTGTGAGTGGCTAAACGTTAGCTCCATCAGTCTTTGTAAATTTTTTTGTCTCCTTTTTGTCTTCCTTTCTTTAAAGATCAAAGCAAAGCATCTGCAGACTGAGAACGAGATGACATTTGGCAGTAAGCCAAACACACCTGCCAAGAGGCGAAACCCAAATTGCTCCAAGACACCAAACAAAAGGTTGAAAGGGGTAAGACTGTTCCTTGACCTTCACAGCCTTGGTTGAGGTTGAACTAATACTTTCAACAATCCAATTTGGTTGATTCCTAATCGGAGCACAACAGACAATAGTTTGTAGCTTGTACACATACGTGTAACTGCTGGTAAAACCATCTTCTTAAAGACTTGAGCAGTTACTTTGTTAAATGTTAATTTATCATGTTAAATGTTTGGGTGACATACATGGACGAGCTCTGTTCAGCCCAATTCAGACTTTTATTTGTACGACTGATGAAAAAGACTTGAAGACTTTAAGTTTTGTGACACTTTGCTTTGGATTCAGAAAGCAGCACTGTTTTCTGTAAGAAGATTTACATCAGGTCCAGTGCCATGCATATCTGGAGTTACACTTCTCATTTTTATATCATGCACCTAGGATTTCCTGGGTAAAAGCTTGAATACACTTTGTGTTGAAACTTGAGATCATCTTTTTAAAAATTTTGATGCACTAAAACTTCTAAAATGGACCATTCACATAAGAGCTATATATAAAAACTAGAGCGCTGACTCGTGTACAAAGTGATGCCATTTTTGTGCACAAACCTATGGAAACTCGAAATTTTGTATAGCTTTTGTACGGCTATTTGCATATCGTGTAAAATGATACGTCAACAAAGCCGATACGCAAACCCGAACACACAGTCAGTACATGAGCGTTTCGTTTGCTCTTGGCCAAAAACCGCAAACGCGTTCATGTCTGCACTGTACATGAATTTTGCCATGACTTTTAATCGGATATTATCTGAACCCGATGTGTACAACCACCGCTGCTCCAATCACACTACGGGAGCACCATTTTAATGTAGCCGAACTGATTCATCAAAATGCAGCCACCGAAAAAACAGCTGTTGTCAAATTTTCTCTGCGTGGGGAATGACAGGTTAGCACTCTAGTTTCTATGCATACGTGTAGCTCGATGACTGTGCATGATGTACATTACTTTTCTCACTTTACACTGGTTTTTGTTTGTAACATTTCCACTTTGACCCTTACTGACCCTCAATCACAAACCCACCTTTTTGGGGGTTCCCCTCACTGCCATTTGCCACACAGCTGAATGGGACATCTTATGCCCCCTCACCCAGACTAGGGGTGACTCACAGCAGCATCATGCCCTCTCCTTCCCCGGCCCGACGTCCCCCAAGGGCTTGCAAGGCCACACCCTCAAACAACAAGGTAGGTGCTGTCGGGCTAGTCTGATAACATTATCAAATATTTTATGAAACTGTCTCTGCTCTCCCATCCCTGGTCATGGGGTACTAATCTGTCAATCTGTAACCTATCTCCTTCCTTCAGCAGTACCTGCTGTCAGTTTGTTTTAGACAAACGCACATGTAGTGGTGTTTTAAAACAGCTCAATAATCTCCTTACTGTTTTTAATGAAGCTGTTGAATTTTAAACAAGACATTGCAAGAATAAAATTGCAAGTTGTGTGATAGTCGTCTCCAAAACCCTGTGTAAGGATTGTAACCAATTAATCTTACAACACTTTATGTTTGGATTTGGGATTGACCAGCTTATAAAAANTAAATCTCTTTGATCAACATAAAATCAATTTTTTGGAAACGTTAACAACTCAAGTAGCATCTTTAGGATTTCAGAGCCCATTGTAGATGAGATGTTAACCCATGTACACTGAAACCTTCTGCAGTATTTTCTTGAATCTTACACATTGTGTCCAGTCACCTCTGTGGGTATCTCTCGGCATTCCTTTATCCCCTGCAGCTTCTTTCATTTAATCCCATGCTACTTCCCAATTCTCATCCCACTGACTGCCTCACTCCATCCAATCTTAACATCACTGCTAACTCTCTTCACATCCTATCCTTTCCTGCCCACCTCTCTCCAGACAACCACCCCTCATGCTGCACCTGCACCATGCACTTACATCCCTCACATACCCTTCCCTTCCCCTTCCTCCATACGCCGTCCTCCTAAAAGCCTCCAGCAGAAAAAGGTAGGGTAAGAGTACACTGTCCGTTGAAAAGTAGAATGTCTCCAACTTCTAACAACTTTGTAGCATGAAATCCGATACTTGTTTTCAGAGGACATTATGAAATTGAAGTGCGCTCATTTTGTGATCTATGTTTGTCAAAGTGTGAAGAGCATTGCATAGGTTTTATGCAACCTGCTATGTTGGGTTTAAAAGAAATCAGGAACTGCCCCAGAAGAGTGTTGAGGGAGTTAGGATTAAATCAGTTCCCCACCAAAAATTAAACTGTTTCTGACTCTACTGCATGGCTTTTATGCTTTACTCAAATTGATGAGGCCTTGACAATGCAGGTTTTGGATTGAGAGGAAACTGTGATAGAGATGCTTATTCAGACTGGTGGGCTAGAGATTGTTGGAATCAATCTAAAACACACTTCATTTGCAATGTCAGTTTTTATCGTTGGAACAATTTGAAGATGCTTACCCATTTGTTGACTTGTGTTTGAAAAAGTTGTTATTGCTTTAAATTTATTCTCTTTCATTGCTATGCTCAAAACAGCACTTTCTCTTAAATTGAGCAAGTTAACCCTAACACTCCTCAATCCTTCACCAGTTGGAGGACTGAGGAGTGTTAGGGTTACTCCCCAATCCTTCACCTGTTGGAGGACTGGGGAGTGTTAGGGTTACTCCTCAATCCTTCACCTGTTGGAGGACTGAGGAGTGTTAGGGTTACTCCTCAATCCTTCACCTGTTGGAGGACTGAGGAGTGTTAGGGTTAATGTTTAGAAATGTTATATTAATAGTTATCATTTGTTTCCTTTTCTTCCGTTCGTCTTTCCACTGAATCGTTTTTTATTTGTTCTTACCAATTTAGTCTGCATGAAATTAAATACATGTTTTTTTAAGTTTAGAAAGATAGGATTATTGGCGATTATACAAGTCATTTGAGTGTAGTTCATTGATTCTTTTTCTTTAGTTGCTGTTGTTTCAGTTACCTTTTTGCTTGGGTTTTAATGTAAGGCGGTATGGTCGTGTCTCCTCAGCTTGAATTCAGTAGCCTGAGTTTAAGTTTGATTGACCTTGCAAATTTCACCATCAATTTGTCACATTTCAGGAATTTACACACCTTGATCAACTCCCAAGATTTCTTGGAAGCTTTGTTTGCATTCAGCTTGAAATACTTTACCTTAATCCTGATATATGCTTTCTGAACTGAACAGACCCCCAAACGAGTGTTGAGACCCACAGGAGCCCGTTTGGCCCATCGCAAGGCTCTGGCTGAAAGGAACGCTGACATGAGCCATGCCTTCAGCACCAGCACCATCAGCGGGGGCCATCACGGTCCAGTGAACTCCAACATGTCCATCACATCGGCCTGCTCCTCCTACTCCGACTTTGCTGTGAGTTGATTTGAGTTGGAGGTCAAGTAGTGTTTCATGCTTTGTGAAATGCTGTAGTCTCCAATGGTTTTTCAATAAGAACACTGACAAGGCAGGCGGGCATTTGAATGCTTCATGGAAAGTTTCATTCTTTTAGTGTAGAGGCACACTGCATTATCATTTACTGTTTTTTGCATTGACTCAAGTTAACCTCAAGATCTTAAAAGCAATCAGTAATGCTTTTATTTGAACTGAAAACCAATTGCCCTGAAAACATAATGACATTGTTATCCAAGGAACTGGAGTTGATCAAAACTGAGTTGAAGAATTTTAAGGGGAAAATCCGGTTGTTTTGAACCCAGGGGTCAGAGGAAGAAGAAAAANTTATAGACTGTAAATTCCTGAATTTGTTGCCCCTTTTCATTTGTTACACTTTGTTCACTACTTTCAACAGTCAACACATATATGTATTCTTTGGGGAAAAATATCGGTAATTACACTGTGCCACCATATAGTTTGTTGAGATGAATCGGTCCAATGTTGGTTGTGTGTGGTGCTGTTTTTACAGGAAAGACTGAACCAATTCTGAGTTCAATGTCTGCACTGCTTGATAGTAAGTTGATCCTAAAGTTACATAAGTTTAAATCAATCATTGAGTCTCATACTTTGACACTGTCAGCTTTTCATGGCCATTCCCAGGTGCTTCTCACTTACTCTGTTTTGTTGGGGAAAATCATCAGAAAAGAACACCTTTACTCCGAATGTTCTGTCTTCTGTACTTACTATTCGATGAACTAAACACAAAACTCAATATCAGAACCTCTGCGTCAGTTATCCGTGCATAATCCATTTCCCATGTCACTGTTTCCCATTTCCATACTTTATTGACTTGTCAGTGTTCTTAATGAAAACCTTGAACCTTTGATTTTTGTTAATTTTTCATTTAAATGTACCATTTATCACCAAATCCTCCTGCAGTAAAGTTTGCAAGGAACATATGTTACCTTTTGCTCTGCGTGCAGTTATTATTCAGACTTAGATACCTGTAGCATGCTTGGAGACACTCCTTGAGTCGCAAGAATTTCACTTTAAAATGGCTCATTGCAGCTACCATGCTACAAATAACTGGAAATAACAGGAATGCCTTTCTGCAGCTTAAAGAATGCCACTGTCCCTTCAACGTCATTAAAGCCTGCTCTTCCACACATCTTTCAGCCATCACATTTATACATGTAATCGCTTTAGTTCAATCAAAATTCTCCAGAAGCCATGTTGCACATCTGAAATAGTTATACTTCACAACCAGGACCTCAGTCAAAGTCACACATCTATTAAAAAAATCCCTAAATTTGGATCGCCACATATTTTGAAGGCAAAATCTTGCCGAACAATCTTTTTGAGCTCCATATTTTTGTAAAAGTTTAAGGGGCTTTGAATATTTTGCTTGGATCCAAGTGCTCAGCATTCTTTTACCCATTCATTTTTTCCTCCATTTGTAGAGAGAGTTTGATGCCAAACGGAAAAACAACTGTCGTAGTAGTTCTGCCTCTAGCCCAACTAGTCTGTCATCCAGCCGATCTCGCATCACCCTGCTCTAAGCTTCAGTTGGCTTGCCGTCAGAATGACATCAAAGTTGAGCAACCAGTACTTGGTAATGCTTGAGGCTCAGTTTATATGCCAGTTTTCCTGCAAATTGCGTAGTTTGGGCAAAAAGAATACCAGTAGTGCTCTTTATAAATTGCGCAAAATCTTAGCACTGTGGACAGCCCTGTTTTTCCCCAAATTTAAACAGACATTGTGAAATCTTTACATAATTATAGAGTCTATGTATGGGTCTGCCGCCTTACCATTAATGTTTTCTCCAGTGTTTACTCCAATATTGAAATATTGTCACTCCAAAAAATTTGTGCATGTATTACTTTGTCTTTGACAATTTAAACGTTCCCTTGATTAAAAATAACAAACACGAGACTGCGTTTATGAGGAAGCCATGAACCAACAGTCCAACGTTAACATTTTCTCATACATGTAGACAGCATTGGCATGGACGCAACAGTATTGAATATGTCTGTCATGTTAGTCTCTGCCGGGGAAGGGGAATACCCTGCACTGCTTTACATACTCCAATGACTCCTGACCCCTCATTCCAGTCCACTGAAGTGCCACCCCCACAAGGCACCTTTTTATTTCAACTGCAAGGGTCACATCAAATGGTCACTTGGCCTAACTCCAGCTATAGCAAAAGATCTTACGACATCGATGTTTCCACCTACATGTACAGTATTACTGAAATGTTCCATTCCCCCAGATGCGGCAGTAACCCTGCCAAAAAAAAATCACAAAGTATTTTCTGATCCTTGGTGTACAGTCTGCCAAGGTGATCACTGAATTCTGAAAGATAGTGCTGCCACACTTTTCTCTCATGGCCAAAGGAAATAGATTTACTGCTTCCCAGACTAGATCAATGTAATTTTTTTTTGCTGTAAATTCTACGTCATTTATTATTATTTTTGGTTTTGTTTAAAATTAACCTCTTCCTGTACATAGCTTGTAAGCTTTTATCTGTTTTAAAGGATGGAATCTTTTTGTGTGTAATAATAGGATTGAGTTGACAGGTAGAAAGATCCAAATTGTCCCTCAAAGCATGGGACAGATGCAAACTGACCAAGTCTAAATGCTTAGTAACATCAAACCAAGATCGGGGTTGTCAACAAGAGCACTGTAAAATATCAGAACAACATTGTTGCAGTCGAAGTCAGTTAGGAGAGAATATTTCTAACTGCTTGGGCATGGACCATGCCCTACTTAACACAGGTCTTGTTTTTTCTTGCTTGTTTCACTTTCTTTCATTCAATGTAAACCCAAAGACGGAATCAGTTGTACATGTACATAGAAATAAAAGTCAAGACACCGACTCTGTGCCCTTGATCTGCTATATAGTCCCACTTACAATTTGTATGGTGCACAAAACAAATTGCAATGTACATGTACCTGCAGGTGCTTATTTATCAACTGCCCAGAGTTTGAGCCTCCAACTTTTGTACATAGTATGTTTTTTTTAGAACTGGTAGTGTTGTACAGCACGATAGCTAGGGAGCCAATAAATGATTCGCCTTTACAACAGATGTTACAATTTGGTCAGTTTTTCCCTTGGCTTAGTTGAGTGTATATGGACTACTGTGTCTGACGAGCAGAAATTGAACTAAAGATCAGAAAAAAGATGCAGATGACAGTGAAACCGAAGAGAATAAGATTGTTGCTCGGAAGAAAAAAAAACGGAGCCGGGAGGATCTCTGAGATTGATACATAAAGAACCAATGCTTTTCAGTGAAGAACAAACATACTCATACCGTAGGAACAGAATACTATTGAAGATGGATCGAAGGATTTGGTTGATATAAAAGAAGTGATTTGTGTTTAAGAATGATTTTATGCACCTTAACTTGTAAGGCCTTATGAAGAGGACACTCAATTTATACGGTGTTATAAAACACCTGCTATCTCCTATTTGTATTTATCCCCATATTTTTTGAGTGTCCTTGCCCACTTTTTGTGTATTTTATTTGCAAAACAACATTCGAAACAAAAGAATTACATTTAATTATTTTAATTAGAAGTGATTGTCAAGCAATACTACAGTAGAAAAAATTAAAACGCCCAAGACTGAACTTAAAAGATGTTTTATGGGGGGCTGCAAAAGTGTAAGGTGGCCATCACAAGGGAAGTTGAAACTGAAATTCCATTCCTTGAAATGATGAGGAGATTGGATGTTACCTTGCAATCCTACATTTACTATCATATTGATCTTTCAAGAATTATTTCAATTGAAGCGAATACCTCGTGCGGTAGAACATTACGTATGCCACTTCGTTAATTTATTTAACCATTATTTCACTCACATATATTTATATAACATTTTATTGTTCGAATTATATTAATTTGTTTATTTTGGGATAAAAATCCCATTTTCTCATTATGGGAAGCAGCACATATCAAAAGCTACTGCGGTGTAAGTATCGATTGCATTGTATAAATTTTATTTCAAATCACCGTTGGGATGCAATGTCAAGGGTAAGGCGTACGTGCGTAAGCAAGTTTATACAGTGTTTATGTCGCACTTGTTTACCGTCAACTTCTGCAACTCCTCCCGCTCGTCAGTACGGATTGGTTCCACTCAGTAATTATGTTTTGGGAAAGAACCTACAGTTTTGCAAAATCTAAAAATGTTTCTTCCAATGTTCAAATTTCACACAGTAACCGATTAAGCGTCATTCTTTTTTTTCACATGGGGAAATCCCTCATGCGCAAACGTAATACATGTATTGGGCAACTTTTATTTCCCTCGCGCCTTTGTTCAGTCAAGGATATGACGTATGCTTCTTGCGCATATGCGGAAATACCCAACCCTGTTTATCTGACGCTTTTCTGGAATCGTAGGCTGTGGTTGGTCAGTATTTTTGGTACCTGAAAGCGCTGCTGACATCATCTCGGTTAAAATGTGTATCATTGGTCGGTTCTCTATGCTAATGAGCATCCTGCACGCGCTCGGTTATTGGCTGACAGGTGTATTGTGTTCACATTCTGCGACAATAACATACGTTCTGCATGCACTATGTAAATACGTACGCTCCGGAGAAGATTTCACACAAATTTCTTCATCATTCTACTCAAGAAATTAACCTATCCGGCAGCATTCAACCCATTTAAAACAGCCACATGGTTTCCTTGTATCCTATTCCAAGTTTGGTTATACTTTGAATCGTAAATTCAACAGAGTTTCGTCTTCTGGAGACGTTTTTCGTCTATGCGACAAGGCTTCTTGTTTGTGAATCGTCCAACAAAGAGCCGCCATCTTGTTTTCCAAGCAAGCTGAAGTCAAGTCCACAGTTCAAGCAAGCTCAAGTCAAGTCTCCCGAAGGCTTGCGTTTCAAGTCAAGTACAACCTATTCTGCCTTTCATTGGACAGTTCCAAGAGGTTTGTTCTTATTGTGTGTATTGGTATGACTCCGGACCCGATCAACATGTCGCCAGAAACATCGCAAACAGTTCGCCGAGTCAGTTATCCTGACGGCAGTCACTCGAATGGCGCATCACCAAGGCATAGGCCCAAGGCCAAGAATCGGGGTAATCACAGGCCAAATAGAGCCTCTCCGAAATCGCCCCTTAACCATCAAACACAGGGGGGTAGGCCTACTCCACCACCAAGACGGCTGAGTTATGGCACCCGCGAAGACGGGGTTAATAATAATGGTAGCCTCGCAGGTTTTGCTGGGTCGAAGTTTAACGAGGCCCCCTCTCCGCATCTCCTGCCCCTACCTCCTGCACACTGGTTAACCGGTAGTCTTTCCACGACCACAAACATGGCAAGTAATGCAATCAATGAAAGCATGACCACGAACTTGAAGTTCATGTTGAAGGTTCCAGTGAAGTCATGAATGAGTGACCAACCAATACGACCAAACAGGCCTTGTTTTTGTATGCAGGGCTGTACTTTTTGTGGCAAAGGTTTTCGATAGAAACTTCATTGTTAATTCCTGTCTCCGTGAACCATTCACTTGAAATGTGATTTCTTTACTTCCCACCCGAAAGGAAAAAGTTTACACTAACATTGTTTTGTAACAATCCTATGAGTATGACAAAGTGATCATAACCTTCATAATCTTCAACTGAATTGTCAGATTAAAAAAGAAAAGCTTTTTTTGAGATGTTTCTTTAGGAAGATGACCATGCGAAACATTTTGAATCCCTTTTCGGAGACAGTTATTAAAGTGTGGTGTAAAGAGTTAACCTTTTGACTTGATTGCAGGATTGACAAAGGAATGGTTGAGATATGTTGAAATTCATTTCATTGAGGCAATGAAGAAAATCATGCTTTCAAGGATTTTATGGACAACATTATATAATGTTTGTACCTTTTTCTAGAACATTGGTTATTGTAAATACTTGTATAAAATAGACATTTGTAAATCCTTCCATTTGGCAGGGTGAGAAAGTTTTAAAGCTTTTGTTATGGAATATGCACAGTGTAGTGTTCAACCAGAACTGGTGTCAAAAACACCATCTACAAATTTAGGATTCAAGGATGCCTGTTTCTCATTCAGGCTTTCATCAGGAACGGTACCAAAAACAGTAAATCAGTATGCTATCCAGGTTAGTCAGAGGCAATTGGAAATTTTTTGTCAACCCTGTACGATTACACTGTGCATATTATCACCCAGCTTTCCTAAAACACAGTTTGAAGCTTTGAAAAGAGAGCAATGAGTGCCATGTCCAGCATGATGTCAGGCCAATGGTCAATCCTGCTGACCTTGTAACCATAAGAAGAGTATTTTTATAAGATGTACATTGTCTCATGTATTGCGTAACTTGATGATACATGTATATGTAAATATTGATGGAGCAGTACTTTTTATTGATACAATGTGCACATTTTATGTATGGTGCTATCTTACAGAAACGAGACTCTGAATGCAGCTGTCCTGCCAAAAGCCCTGGATTTTGTGCATTAAATCTCACATTCTCGAGTCGTTATGAACCAGGTGATGGTGATGTAAAGGCAAAGTGACACCGAGCTTTGTTGAGTATCTGTTTAAGATATTCAGATGTTAAAGAACTTTAAGGTTCCCACTTTTATTAAATTTTTTTACTAATTCCTGGTGTATTTGAGTGGGAAATGTGAACAATCTCTGAAGATCTTGCCGTGAAGCTCAAAAAGTCACAAAAAGGTGAGCAATGCTTTTTCCCTTCTGTCTTGAGAATTCAATAAGACCGAGAATTGCACTGGAATCATGCAATGCAAATACCCGTAGTTCAAAAGCATGCCGGGCATGTGTGAAGCTTGGTCAAGGACAAAAGTTGCATTAAGATACTTGTTACAAAGCTTCAGATTGAGAGTTTATTGATTCCTTGGAAATTTGTTAAAAAGTCTTTGTGTTAAAGAAAGGAACAGGTGGAAAGCATACATGGTTCCTTTTCTAATCGGTTATCCCACAAGTGTGCAGAAATCTGCATTTGAATTCCACAATACATGTGCATCAAGTTGAATTTGAAGAATATCTTTCAAAACACATTCCAACAGGGTTAAATCTCAAAAGTATTTCCATATTTCTCAATCTCTAATTTAGTGTCTGAACATCCAAAAATCATTTATGCTTTCCACTTGCAGAAACTTGAAATACATTGAAAGTGAGCAGTCACTAACAAGGAAATTATTGGGATTCACATCGACGATACAGAATATATGTAGAAGATGTATCTAATCATTTGTTTGTCCAAAGTGTTTTTATCCGTGAATCATTTGATTCATGTGGCATAACGCCCGAAGTACAAACCCCACCAAAAGGGGGAGAACAAATCCTACCATAAAGAAATCATAGCCGGGGGAAAATGTATGTGTCTAAAAATCCTTGTCTGTACTTCTTAGTGGCTGGCCACAAGTTGAAACTGCAATTGGTATGAAATCAATTCGATTGTTCCTTTGTTTGGTTTTTTTTGTGTGTGTGTTTTGTGTAATCTCATCTCTCTTTACTGTACCTGGTTCTCTTCTCTTTGCTTCCAAAACATCCCATAACTCTGCTGACAACATAAACTTACCATTTTATGGGAGATCATGCTGCCAAATTATGCCAAAGATTAACGTAAGATTAAGTTTTTCATGTAATGAAGTTTAGATGTTCAAACTGTTTGCATTGTACCAAAACAGTTTTATTTCAGAAGAAAACTTGATTCCAGGTTTTGTACGCGTGTTTTCCTGGACTCAATTTGTATATCTGAGCAAGACATTACCTTTCTTTTACTTTTCTTCTTGTTTTAAGAGAGGAAGCACACTTCCTACAGATTGGCCTCTTGACCCAGATGTTTCCTAAACAGATTCATATCGTTCTGTTTCTTTTTTCCTCAAAAGGGTAATCTGTATGCATAGGAATATGGAGGGGATGCGTAGCACCGTGATCAGAATATTGACAATCACATATTCTAGAGCACTGATTTTTATATTCTTGTCAATCTGTGCATGTTTTATGGTTGAATCTTTTTCATCTTTACCCTTGCTGACATTTTAATCGAGGTATTTTATTGAATCCAAATTCGGTTGTGAAAATATCATTAGCCTAATTTGCATTTTCTAGTAACATTCCTTTCTGATATGAAGTGTGCTTTCGCATTAACAAACATTTCAAGAGGTACTAAGCAATCTTCATTTCAGCCTATTGAATGGCCAGTTCGTTGTCAAACTCAAGATTAAAAGAACGCTTTAGAATTTGAGATTGATGTGAAATAAAACACAATTTATTTGAATCTAAAAATGTGCATTATACATGACGTTTGTCAAGTATCTCATGGAAATGGTTGTTCCTACAAAGTATTTCGAAGGACATCCACCTTTGAAGAAAATTCCAAAGATTGATGTTCTTGCCGTCAAAACTTTTTTTTTACACAGTTGAAGTAAATGTAAGTTTTATATCAAAAGGGGTTTAAATGTTTCTTTGCTGTTAAATTTAACTGTAGCATTAATTGTAAGAATGTTGTAAGTGTACATTTAGCGTGTAAATTCCAAGCAGTCTGCAGATTCACCATGGACAGTTCTTCAGTATCTTCCCCAATGTCAGTGATATCGATTGCAGATTGCAGCTCCAGTCTTTACAAAATCAATCCTTTTGCAAAGAACTGTGAACAAAGTGAGAAAAGACACTCGCCAAGCCATCGTCACAAGTCTTTGATGATGCAGACCGCATTGGCATGGAAACAACTTTCTCTAAGCAGCAGTATAGCATCTCGTCAGCAGAGTCCTTCAACCATTTTGTCTTCTCGTATGATGGACTTCTACCATGAGTCTTCTGTCTTCTTTTTTTCGGCCCTCTTCAGGGCCACACAACGTCAAAAAAGAGATCAGATTCCTGTGGCTGTCTTACGGCACAAGCCAGTTTCATGTCACTGTCTTTACATGTTATTGGCAAGTGTTTGTTGTTTGTCGTTTGGAAGTCATTTTGTCTTACATGTGTTTTGTTTAAGTGTCATTTACTTGTGTTTTGTTTGTTTGAAGGTTGTGTTAAACGTTTCATTGTCAGTGGTGACGGTAGAATATGTTGCATGCGAAGGAACCTTGACGTTTTGTCACTTGGTGTGGGTGTGCTGGCGTGTGGCATACAATGTTTTGACTTCTGCACGAAAGAAGTCCACATAATGTACGACGTGATGGCGTTCTATGTGAGTGGGGGTGGGGACAGGCTTGTAGCAGTGTGTGGCGTTGGACACCTTGAAAGTCGTATTGCAGTTCCTGCAAATGAAATGTCTTGAAGCTGTGAGGTGCCGAATATGTTGGAGGAGATGTGTCTGTTTTAATAATTTTACAGAGAAAAATAACGGGGCACGGTTTTATCGAAAATTTTGAAGGTGGCGCTCGAGCTGTTTTCACGTAAGTACATGTACATGTATGTGTATTTTGTACTTGTTCCTACTTAGACTGGTCTCCTCTTCCTCCACTGTCCGTTAGACGAATGCCTAAAGGGGGCGGGGACTTTTTCGTAAAATTTAATTTAGAAGGGCGCCACCATGGTACTTAAAGTTTCCATTCTGTGGTGTGTGAGGGGGAGGAAGATTCCTCCTCGCACGTTGAAATTTTGTGAACAAGTGGAAGCCCCAACGCTCCAGAATTGGTATAGGCCTAAACACAGAAATATGCAAGAATAAGGATACCTTTACGGGCGAAAAAAGTTGACCGTCGATTTTAGAGAAAATCCCCAGTTTACCCTTCCCCCATTACCCAAAGCCTGAATACGCCACTGCTAGTTATCGAAACAACAAAGCGTTAATTCGAGAACACTGGGTAATCACAATGGAGCTGACCCTTTAAGTTATAAATATTTTCCTTTTATTTTTAAGTATTACACATGATACAAAATGAAAATGTACGCTCATGGAACCGGATGTTATGGCTTACAGAAAATGCGTTGCTGTCTTCGCGCCAATTTCCTGGAAAGAATTCTATAAATTCTCAGATACATGTATATACGACTGCATGCATTGACCCAAGTATTGCCATTTCGATATTTGCTTTGAAACATTTTAATTACAGATACAGAGGCTCTTTTCACAGCGAAACTTTACAATTATCTTTCTATTCCATTGATTTTATGTACGTGTTTTTTTTAAACATTCAACAATCCGAGAAGCAACGGCAGTGCAATTATTATCTGGACACTCATAAATCGATGTGCAAGTCAATTATTTACAGGCTACATAATTATTCATGACCTATTTTTAATTTTGAAGGTTTTTCGTCAAATCTTGCCGAAACGAACTACATTATATGAATGCTTCAATACCAGTTTCAATGCCAAAAGATCCATATTCCAAAAATATAAGACAGCACAATTTCTCTTTTAAGGCTAGACAGGTTTATATGTGTCGGCAATCACTGGTTTGCTTGAGGGTGTTTCTATATGATACCCATAAACAGAATTTCTATTTTATTTGATATTAGATGACTGAACTACGCTTGTGATCAACAGAGGACGCCTTGTGACAAAACGAGGACAAATTCAATGGTCGCACAAGAGGCAAGATGGCATCCAGGGTCTTCGTAAAGCAATACTCCAGACTTCACCACTGATTCAGAATGTTATGACTTGAAATATTATGCATGTTAAACACGGGAAACAACAGAGATGCATATTCAATTCATGGGCGTAAATCCCGGGGGTTGGGGGTGTATATCCTTTCACCTTTTTTTGGGGGGGTGCTATTAAATCACCCCCCCATCCACACACACAAACACTTTTTTGTAGTGAGCACACGAATTATTACGGATTGTGAAGAATTTTTCGGACTTCCAAGGACTAATGCATTCAATATCACTCAAAAAAGGGGAAATATTATTTTAAAAGTAATAAATATGACATTCTAAATACATATTACACATGTGCATCAATATGAACATTGACCCCTATACATGTATAGGGTCATGGTGAACCCCCCGCCTTTCAAATGTTCATGGCCAGGCAAGTCAACCCCCCCCCCTTTTATCCCCAATGGCACTATAATCTCTCCTTTCCCAGTTGACTTTCTTTTGTAAATTAACCTATGTGAACAAGAAGTGCATTGAATATGCGTGTACGTTAACTTGTGGCACTTTGGGAAACATTCAAATACTTTTGTCTTATTTATGGTGTACTAAATGTGACCCCGTCAAAATACTTTTGCTTATATCTAGGTACAACTAAACAATGAGCCATTGCAACAAATCTTTAGCAGCTTTAGAAACTTATAAACCTTTGAATTCAATCAAGGAAAAATGTATTTGTTATGTGCATGAACACCTGTTGTCATTTACTGCAATACGATGACGTGCACTTTTTTCAACAGTTGCGATTATTCAAAGGCCGTAAAATCATGGTTTAGAATATTATACTTGGCCTTTGAGCTCAGACAACCTTTTGAACTTAATATTGAAAACTTTAAGTTATCGCGGTAATTGTGCAAAACGCGAAAGTAAGTAAAGTTTCCTTTCATTTCGTATGCTACGTGGGTTTTGCCTTTATCAAAGCCACGCCCACTTTTTCACTGATCCACGCAACTTTCTTGGTGATGATCTCCTGCGCAAGCGCAATGCACATGGACATAATGGCCATGCCGAGTAGAATGAAAAAAGTGCAACCCAAAAGGTTCTTCTGATGTTCGGGTACCAGGTCACCGAATCCAATGGTTGTCAAGGTAATGAAGGAGAAGTAGAAAGCATCGAAGTAGTTCCACTGGTTTTCCCACAGACAAAGTAGTCCAGCCAGCATGCACACGTACATCAAAGCAAATATTAGAACGATAGACAGTGGTATATCCACTTGATCGTTCTCTTCTTCGTCGTCATTACTGGTACCCGCGTTGTCTCTTTGGGCGGGGCCAGCCCCGTCCTCGGATTTACCTTTGAGAGTCATAACATGCATGGGCGGCATATCGCCTTGGTCAATTCCGGGCTCTTGGCTCCAAATTTCTTTGATGACGTCATCCATGCTTGGTGGCTGTTCCGTTGACCCATTGGTCTGTTTGTCTGTCATCTGTACCCCTTCTGTACCGCCTTCTGCTGGTGCCGGGACACGAACCGCACGCAGCTTTTTTTTCTTCTTTGGAGGAGGAGCGCCCTTAGCCATTGCAATGTTCATGTGAAGGAGGCGATACGTCAGTGTGGCTCCACGTGCAAAGAGTGAGCCAATGCTGGCCAGAACCAAGAGAAGCATAGCGATGCCAAACACAGCGTAGATCATGCAGAAAACCCGACCACCAATCGTCACGGGAGCTATGTTGCCGTACCCTGTTGGTAGACAAAGGGGGAAGATAATGTTACATCTTAAGATTCACTCAGCACTGTCTATTGTACTTCCCACATTATAACAAAATGTTTCTTGGAATCAAGTGGAGCCCGTCTTTGATCAAAATCGTCAACCGCCACTTTGCTGCTTTGCTCGATCACTATCATTTTTCTCTGCCTTACTTTTCCTGTTACAGAGTCTCTTCTGTTCTTGGAGCTGTCTTTTGATGTTCATAGTTTTTTGTAAACAAACTATTTGTACATCAGGTCTGATCCCATGGTTTACTGACCCGATTTCAAGCCACACATGCAATCTGGCCCTTTTGCCAGTTTGCGGAAACAACCTTTCCGCAAACTGAACTAAATAAAGCGCAGCCGCAACTAGTCACATTTCTTTAGAATTTCGTTATCAAATCTATGACAAGACCAGTCAATCCATCTTGTGTTTAGATCATCATGCATACCTCGTGAATGCTGCGTGCCTGTATTTTTCATCATAATAATAATGCTGCGGCGCGGGCCACGCACCTTCACGAACCCATTAGGCCGATACAGACGGCCGTTTCCAGAGTTAAATCGCAGTAGGTCTATTGTGCAACAAATTCTACTTCTTGTGAAATGCTGGGTCGTTATGCCCAGCCATGCGATTAATGCAATATTGATACAATCTAAGGTGCGAAGTCAGGATGGCCGAGCGGTCTAAGGCGCTACGTTCAGGTCGTAGTCTACTCTGTAGGCGTGGGTTCGAATCCCACTCCTGACATTAGTTCTTTTAACCTTAATTTTGTAAGTCATTCAAGAATGATATTAGAAATGCTTTAACGTCTTTATTAAATATAACATCGTTACATTTTTTTCTCTCTACATATCTGATCCAAGAAAAGTGCGGAATGCAGCATGTTTTGAAGGTTTTTGTTCCTTTGACTCTAGTTTTTGCTGTGGCATTTTCCATTAAAATGTAACAAAGCTGGTTAGCAACTTTCTTGTTTCTGGGCGTGGCCGACAAATCCAAAACGATTTCAACGGTGTTTTGAGCACGCAGGGAATGATGTCATGGACATTATGGACATATTTAATCTTCACTGAAATCACTGATAGCTTTACCATCAACAAGAAAAATGTTTCAACATCCTGAACAGATCACAAATTAGGCCTACTCATGCTGCCGGAAAGAGGGTGCCCATTTGGTATATCAGGTATTGAGGGATTTTGTAAGTATTTGCCATGAAACGGCAAAAATCCTCATGGATTAACCGCCAACTTCAAATTAAAGTACATGCAACACTGTAGACTGATGATCTAGAATATTCAGAGCTCGGTGTTTCACCCACTGGTCCGAGGTTTAAAAACCTTTATCTGACATTGGACAAGTAGCCCCATTCAGCTGTGCATAACCCTCTGTCGACACATGGTTGTGTTGAACCGTCGAAGTATGTGTTGATTCGCGTCTGGTTTGCTCGTTAAACATAAACCGAGACATTCAGGACGTGCACCGAGGTAAACGTCATCATCATGCGAAAAAGGTCAAAGGATTGTCGAATGGGTTCATCCTTCACATTCAAGCTGTCAAATATCTCAGAACACACTCCACAGACTGGAATGTTCACTGAATATTGATTATTTGCCTTGGTACATTGCAAATTGTCAAATATTGCTTTACATCATTCAGACTAGTCATCATGGACTGCACGGAGACTTGTAATGTGACTTTTCCCTGCTCTTTGCCAAACAAGGTTGTGTAATTGGATTTTTATGTGAAACACGCGCACCAACAAAAATGATTCAAGGGAATCACTATTGAATAATGCTAATTAGGCCGATAGAAAAAGTTCGAAACACGTTTCCCGAATATATTTGACCTCCTTTTTTGTTAGGAAATACATTATTAAAAAGTACCGGAATTGGTGGAGGCCAGAACTGAAAATGCTCATCATAGGTCAAGCAAAAATTATAACGCGTTCATCTGTCATTACACAAACAAAACTGAGACAGACAAGGCTGAAGTTTACCTCATCAAACTTGATCTGTTCGCCAACTTACAGTCAAAGAATGAAACTAAATAACTTCATCCAACAGACCAAGTCACTTTAAGCTCACTCATGACACTGATTTTAAACGGCGTCCCGCGGGGGTGAATTATAGAGATGTCCACGGGGCAACGTAATAATCGTTGAGCTCTGGACGTAGATTGTGCAAGACTAAGTCGTGCTGGTTCGCTTTTAATCCGTTACGTAATTACCCTTGCAATGAAATATGAAAATAGTACTTTGTTATATGGTTTGTTAGAACAAGGATTGAATTAGTTACATAAAATTATTCATCAGAAGAGAAACTAAAAGGCTTGAGTACATTACGCATAATGTTCCTTCACGCATGGGATATAGTATCCATGACATTCAATCGGGACCCTATTATGCTCCATCCAGTCAAGGGAGAATGTCATACTTTGGATATTGGACTCCATTCAGTCAAAGGGGAATTCCATTCACTTTTGTTGGCTGCTGAACAAATCACCGAACAGAGAGATGCTGCGAAAGCAATTCGGTTTTAAGTCAACGTAGCATACAGTAGAGCACGTGCAATCAAGTGCCTCGGTATAATTTGTTAAGCGCTTTTACTGTTACAAAACGAAATATCAGCCACCAGTTTAACTGGCAAACATGTTGCTGCGTGTTCATTGCTTTGTTTCTGTGAGATAAATGTCTCGGCACTTTCAATTATCTGCCCATACAGACTAAAGCTGGGTTTGAAAATTGGTCCCATTTAATTAGCGTTTAATGCTCTGTTATCTCTCGCTTTAACCGATCCTTTTTTCTTGTCTTCGTTGATGCATCATCATCAGCGGGATATTGGGAGGGTAGAAGCTTCAAAGATGAGAGAAAGATGAGAGATAGCAACTTAAGGCAGGCTCCCCTTGGAGGAACAAACGGGACGCTCTCACCTTCAGACACTATTCTGTATCAAGGCAATTAGTAAATATTGCCTACAACACGCGGGCGAACAGACATCATCGGAGAAATGGACGCCCAGTAGGCAACGACATTTTCTTTCAACTGCACAGCCGATCGAGAAATTTGTCTTACCGGTGCACAAAGATACTTTGTCCGCTGTTTATGTCAGACCCCCCTCCCCGACCCTTTGGCTGTGAATAATTGCCCAATTAAATCGGCTTCATCACGATGGATTCCCGTCGTGTCAAAATCAGAGAATAAAACAATGCAGGCTATCGCAGAAATGCACTTTGAGCGGTGCTAAGCATTTTCTCTGTACTTTTATTTTAGTTGTGTAACTGTGGAAGTGATGGCGCACACCTTCTTTAAAATATTCTGACGACTTTGGAAGTCAACTACACTCTTTTTGGACCTTTTGATTCGCCTGAAGATTTCTGAGCACTGACCTGGGTGTAAAGGAGATTTAATATCTCCTTGACGAGTTTATTTTCTTTTCTTACTGATATAATCTTGTGACGTCAATTCTGTATGTAAACTAACTTTCAGCTTATCTAATAATCTTGAAGCACACAGGGTGGTTACAATTCTGTATGTAATCTTTGTAAAAATAAACACGATACGGCCCTGTTTATATGGTAGGCTACTTTATCCAATTCTTAAGTAAGAGTTAACAGATCTCTCGTGAAGATGGTATGAAGACAGCTAGCCTGTATAGATAAATGGAGTGTCCCAGGGTTAGTTTTCCGTTATAAATTCCTTGATTATCCACACACACACACTCCCAAAGATAAACTTTACCCGTATACCATAATGCTGAACAGATGAAATGCCTGCTAAATGCTAATAAAGGTCATGCCAAAAGTAAAACTGTGGCGACACACAAGAGGGTTCCGGAGTTCTTAGATAAACATGGAAAGATTTCAATGAATATAATTTTATGGACCTCCGGTATTTCTCTGCCGTGGTGTCTATGTAACGTTATTAGTTATTACACGAGCGCAAGTAGAACACGACACAATGTAGTGCGTCTGTGTCTCGTATACCACGAAGCTGGGAATTCGAAGTTTACCTGAAGATAAGAATTTATGTTTGGTACATACATGGGCCCTTTGTGTTGACATCTTACTGACTAGTTTGTGTTTGTTAGTTTTCTTTGCTTTTCTGTTTACAACGACATACCATTTTCGACAGGCTGCAAAACAAAATTCCGCGCCTTCATCCAATTCATCATCCCGACCTCTATATAAGAAATCCTAAGAACCCCAAATTAGGTTCAAGCTACGGGCTGCTTCCTGGCTTAAGCATGTAAGCGTAAAACATTAACTGTTCGGCTTTCCGTCAATTTGACAAATTATCCACGCAGATGCCAAAAATTCCGAACGCAAACGACAAAACCTCAAAACAGTCACCCGTGATGTTTTTTTCTCATCAAAACTGCTGCAGTTACTTGGTTAAACGGCTGTCATAAATCCACCGAAACTTAGCATGGATTTGTTTGACAGAGGACCAACATATCAAGTCTCACCTTCCTCAATTTTTCAAAATGTCTGAAGTGCGCGCTTTTCACCGACACACGTGCGGTGATTTGTCACGTGTCTCATCGAAAACACCTTCTTTTCCACAGCGAGAAGTTGGTGACACCGTAAGAACTAACAGTGATTTGGCTGGGACCGCCACGCAATTAACACGCAATTCAAGAAAGCGTTAATATCTGCCTTAAGCTGAAGCATCCTCGTGGGTTGAAAAAAGCCAAGTTGGCGGGAGTGTTCATTTCAGCCACTTTACCGTAATGCATGCATTTCATATAGGCTTATAGTCGCTTATGAACCAGCGAAGTGCTGGCCAAAGTGCCGACCAACGGAGCCTCCGTTGCCAGGAAAATTTGACATTCAAAATTTCCAAGCCGTTAGGATTACTTGTTTAACATTTTTTTTTAGCAGATCCGAAACCACACAATAAAATCACTGCCATAGTTGGCATAACTTGCACAAATCGTAATCATGAAAACTGAAAATATCTTGCTACATTTAAAGTCCTCCTGGTAGCAGTTTGGTACCAAAATGAACCTCTTTTTTGGGGGGGAGGGACGAATAAAACGTCCCAAGCAAGAAAGTGCATCCATTGCTCTCAGAGGAGTGTCTGTCGTATCTTGGAAGAAATAATAATGACTGAATCCATTACTGTAAAGACTCAAGATGGCTGTGTATTGAATTTCTTAACACATTCGCGTCTGTTGCGTGTGCCTGTGCATAAATTGTTGGTGCGTCTTAAAGTCAATTACATTTTTCCATGTAAAACATTGGTTTAAAAAGGCAAAGAGCCTCTTACCAGCCTGTAGCAGACAGCCGCAGAATTCCTTCAACCTTCCCCCAGGAATTGACCAAGACAGGTGATGCAAACAGGCATCAAAAGATTCTTGGCGTTTCTGCACGCTGCCCGGGCCTGTTTTGATTTGGCATTTGGCTTAGTTAAGTAGTTCATGTGCATGCTGTGTCCCTTTTCGTGGTTCCGCCAAATGTTCCAACATTTGCAGATACATGTCATGAAATAATTTTGGCAACCCGAAAACCCAATTCGAAATGAACAGTGCAGCGACAGAACGTAATGACCGAAATCATTTGGCTTAGGCCTGTATCACAAACCCGACAGCATTCCTTTACCAAGCTTGTTGAGTTCTGGTCAACGATCTAAAATTCTTTCGGTGATCTTAGAGAATCAACTTCTCTTCACTTGTAGTACCAATAATTGCTCCCATTTTTGTCTAAATTTTGACTGAAGTATCTACATACATGTTGCTCATAAGTACGTTCAATAAAAATGCCCACATCGCAATGAGATTGTGAGTACATTTACATGTATGTAGTTATTTTAGTGTTACATTTCTACGATGTATGTCTGGATTGAACTCTTGACCTACCTATGGTGCTAATCACTGTACACGAGAAAAATAGAGCTCCAACGAAAGTCCACTTGATCTTCCTCTTTCGTGGTGGTATCACGAAGGTCCCTGTTCTCTTCTCGAGTCGATTGAGACTTCTAATTGCCTGGTCAAGCCACTCCTCCTTGTTATCTCCGTAAAACTCGGTTATGTTCCACATCTGCCCTAAGAAGTCCTCCCTCCGACCAAGGTACTTCTCGTACTCTGCTTGGTAGATTTCTTTCTCTTTCGGGTATTCCAGTGCCTGAAACACCCCTGCTCCTATGCAGACGTAAACGACGAGACATATGAACAGAGCAACGTAGGTGATCGTGTAATGCTGCACCAATTTACAATAGTCAGGTCCTTCATCATAGTGCTCTTCCATTACGATTCGATGGTCTTGGTCCTCCTCCGATTCCCTCTCTCCAACCTCGGCCATTTCCAAGTTCTGTTTCTGAGTCTATTACCGGTTTGGAAAGCTTTGTTTCAGAGTTATTCAGTCCCAGACGCAGAAACGTGTAGTTTGAGATTCAAATTGTCCCGCCACAGTTGATGCAGCAAAGCTGGTATGTGACTATCTTTTGACAGTGCAACCGATAATTGAAGGCCACCTATCTGGCATTACCATAGGACAAAAACATTAAGGACCGAAAAACGTACAACCTCCCGATTTCTTGTCTGATAGTGTACCTTCACGCACAACTAATATAAGTTTCTTGACTTCTGCTATGCAATTTGGAAGCTGCAGGGTGTAGCAGTCATCTTTTTTGGTTTTCAAGTTCATCCACTTCCGAATTTTACGATGCACGTGATAAGATTTATTCTTCCGCAAGATATCACAACTTGGAGATTCATCCCTAAGGAGACTTGTTCACTTGGACAATGTTAGCACAAGTTGTCATCAGATAAACTGCGCCAGCAAAACAACTGTAAACAACTTGTCCAAGTACAACCTCCGATGCACCTTCGTGGACCGAATTCGCCAGAACGTATAATTCAGGTCTTCGCTGAAGCCGGATTAAGAGGACAGAGAAATGGCAGAAATGTGACATTGATTCATCACCCTCGAACCTCGTCGCAGCTGAAGTCGTCTCGTAGGTCCTCAGACTGTGTTAGTATATATACATTGGGGTCGTTCCAGGAGGATGTGGTCACACGATGAGATCATGTATACCAGAGGCCGAGAGCTTTCTACGGGAGAAGCTCCACCCATCGACGGTGATGAAATACCAACCAGAGCAATCGTTGTACCAGGTATGGTTCATTGGACTACATCACGGCACGACAATTCCTTTTTATATGGTCGCCACCCATTGAGCAAGTAGAACGGGCGCTGACGATATCAGAACCTAGTCTATGGCTTATGTTCACATTCTCCTCCGTAGGGTGTCTCGTGCGCATGAACGAGACACAGATCGCTACGAGGCACGAAACCATCGACGAGGATAATGGTTCAGACTGGGCGGAGCACTGAGATGAAGAAGGCAGGTACCAGACGAAACTTATGAAGACTAGTTTTGATATGACCAATGAATGGAATGGTCCCATTGTGGTGACGAAAAGTCCTAAATCGATTCATAAAACCATACACAATATAAAACCCAAATAAAGTTAGGTCTATACGTGTTCATTAATCATGACGTCTTTGAAAATAGTTTTGATCGAAATCAGCTTTAAAACAAATCATGACTAATGTCTTGTTTGAGTTTGCTGGCAACCATGGTTTTGATCATAGCGAGTAGAATTTTGTCTTTGTATATTTCCTATCTTCTCTTATCAACCCAAAACAGAGAACCTTTCAACATGGATGCAGTGTATGATCTGCGCTGTAAATTGTTAAATAGGCTATGCGCAAGGATGTCTGGGCGCAGCAGGCCGGTCTGGTATCCACCAATTCCAGACACTTGGATCATCTTGACCTTACCAGAAAGGTCAAGCACGCAGGGGTTGAGATGCCGAGTTGACAGACGAGACCGTGAGAGCAAGAGCGCCCATCTGGCTGGTATCCAGTGTCTGCCTACGGCAGCGTCAAACTAGCAAGGCCCACTGGGTGAAGACCTGGCTTTAAGCCATAAGCGTGTCACGCACGCCGTGGTGCGCCACAGAAGTGTGGCATGAATAATGCCACGCTTATACAGGTAACTGGCATTGCTCCAGATGCTATAAGGGTTGAGTGAAAATATACCAACGTGCTGTGGAAGTAGCATCATAGATATTTTGAAAACGAATGTCAACATTCAATAAATTACATGCTTGATGGGGAGACAGTATATTTATTCGTCCGCTATGAAGAAAGATTTTCCTAAAATAAAACACTGCATCCGTTCCTATAACAGAAACATTTAGGACGCTCGATTTCGAGGTCTACATCTTGCGACAATCAGGAGAATTTTTTGCTTTTCGCAAATTTTTACAATATACAAAATTTTCATGAAAGAAATGTTTCACTGATAAGTTGTTTTAGGATTTTGAAATTTGCTGCAAATATTTCACCCAACGTTCTTCAGTCACCACGATAGCTAATGGACCTGTGTTGCTCTTAGCTGTCAATGCATGGCAAAAAAAACCCAAAACAAAACCCAGTCTATATAGCCAAAACAAAATAAAGCTCGCACCGAAATCATTGATATCTGAAGGATGAGAAAATCCACTCAGATACAGCGGACAGCTTAGTGGATGCTTGGTACTCCGGCCCTGTAGTACTTGGAGCCCCTATCGTGCGCATGCTCAGACCATCCTGCTGAAGATGGGATCCGGGAGGAAATACATGTGGCTATAGAGAACGGCTGTCGATCTTAATGCCATCACTTGTCTTAATAGACTAATAAGAAATGTACCAAAAGAGAAAAACGATAGGAATCTGATATCTCATTAGCGTACTAACAAAATAATTAACTGCTGTAAGTAAAAAGCAACATTTTACGTTGCCTGCATGGTCATAGTTTTTCTCTTCATAATACCTGGTTTTCTTATGATCCGATCTCTGAGTTTTCCAAAGCCAACATAATTCTATCTTTGCAGTTGTTCCAATTATAGGTATTCAATGTATAGGCCAAATTCTGTAAAAACACCCAGCGGCTACAACGCGAACACGAATATACATGCCTGTCACGTGAGATGCAAGGAACATTTTACTAGAGTTAATAAAAATGACAACAGCGCGGTGGACATCGACTGCCATTCACATTTTATTGACCATGTTTCTCACGCCAAATTCGTAATTGTCTTGAGGTTGCAGAGCACAGAATTTTGCTGAACGTTGGGGGGTCAGTATTAATATGTGAGAATCCTTCACAAACAATGCCAGTGGGTCGGACTTGCCTGTGGTGCATCTTGATCCGACCTGATAATGCACTGTCGGACTTCATGCAGTGAAGTGTGAAACTTCCACGGGTTCACGGAATTTTTCTCCAGCCAGATAAGAAGCTGGCACGCGGTCGGCAAGACCGAATGACCGGCAGCTTAGCAATTAAAATTCCGCACTTGGAAATATGAGAATTTGTCGGATTTTATTGCACAAGTGATGGATCAGAGGGGAGAAGCGGACACGACCTCGTGTCACTTTCGATTGATGCTGAGGAAGTGTGATAGTTACAGTCGAAAAATCCTCTCGTCTTGCTGCGTTTATGTCGAGGCAAACCTTCTCTGGAATTTGCCTTAGTGGGAATCAACGATGACATTTTATCTCATGTCGAGGGCAAGGGCGGATCCAGGGGATAATAGGGTGGGGGCATCCCCTATGTAAAACGGAATCAAAAAACAAAAAAATGGAGAAAAGGCGATGGGGGGGTCTATTTAACTCTATTACATTTCTCTTCAATCCCTGAGGTGAATGTACTTTTACTTTAAAGTCACACGACAAGACCAACTTAAGTTTGGACGCCTGGGTATTTTCTCTCGAGACGACCTGGTCAAAAAAGGACGTTGGGTCTAAAAAATGTAGTAGAAAGGTTTAGTGTTGCTTTAAAAGAATAGGCAAGAGATCAATGTCACTGATGGAGAAAAAAACATTACCTGAAGAATCTTGTTCGAGAATATCAATCCGTTCATTCACTTTGCGAGCCTTAATTAGCCTGATAAAATGCATCAATGTTCTCAGATGTTTCTGGGTACATAACAATAAATGCACTCATAACTGGTCTTCAAAAGCGGCTGATTTCAATCAATTATTGTGTATACTTATGTCTTTTTGTAATTATCTATGCGTATTACGGTGAGCCCACTTTTGGATGCACGTATCTCTGTCTCTCCCGCCTGGTGTGCAGTAATAAACAGGGATTGGTTCGGTTGTCATAGACTTTCTTTGGTAATTTTAATTGGGTGAGAATTACACATGATGGCGTAGTACTCTAATCCTGAAAGCAATCAACCAAATAAGAATGACTAATCAATACGTGGTGATGACTGCTGATCTCTATGACAAAATAGAGATCAGTGGTGATAACAGCCAAAAAAAAAACCACCCCAGCACTGATTAGTTGTAATCCAATAATAGAGGGCGTACTTTCCAATGTATATCCCCGGTCGGGTTGGCATTATTTTGTGTTCACAGATGTTTTGTGCATAGGCCCCTACAAGGCGTTCTCGTCAGTTAGGATAATGTTTCTTAGAAACCAAGGACGAACTAAGACACATGCATGACAGTTTAGTTTCCTCAGAGGGGAAAAAGAGTGTCGGTCACATATTATATGGACGAAGTGGAGTCATGGAGAGCGCATTGTATTTTGGATAGTTAGCTGAGTTTGTTTTTCGCTTAACAACTATGAGCACTATCGTTATATCTCTGCATTGATATTAGCTAATTATTCATGATTAAAACTTAAGTTACTCTAAGTAACAGAATAACTCATTGATGTTATATCATATGATTTGGCATAACGAACACGTTGGAGGTAAGGGATTTTATCGTGAACGATAGAAAGAATTGAATGTGATGGATTCATTAGGATTATTAAGATTCAAATTAAGTATCGATGCGTCGTTGTGCAATAATTGATAAATGAACGAGGGCGCTCTTCAGCAACCTTAAAAAATCGCATTTGATAAAGATAAAATAATTAGAAGCCAACTTGATTATGGCATGAAAGACTCTTTTTCATACATGAAGGCTGCAATTAATCATTCCTTCCCTTTCTGTTCCTTTCTGTTGTTCGGACCTTGTACCTCACCTGAACCAATCCTTTGTGATGAACAGTTGCCAAGACAACTGGCGCCTGGAATCTACTGCAACTACTTAAAACGAGCGTTCAGGTTCCAGTATTGCCCCACGATCGCGCTGCACAATGCTCGGCAAATATACATGTACATGTATGCTCACGCTTCCAATTACCTCTGCCAAATTGTGCATGTCCTTACTGCCCTGGCAAAACTGCTATTGCAAAAATGGATAGTTTTGGCTCTACGGTACCGTTTTAGTTAGTAGCTATGAGGAAAAATGCAAGGGTTGTTTGATACGCAATTGCCCGTTAAGGTTGTTAAGGGCTTGGGCAAAAGACCCAGCCTTCTGATTAAGGCCGACGGCGTCTGTGTAATTAAACGACAAGTGGCGAGAATATTTATCCAGAGAGATGGAGTACAAACAACCTGAGGTAGCCTTATTACAGGCGCTATCCAGAATGTGTCGTGTGTATAAAGTACCACGCGAAACTAATTTAATGGTACAAATAATTTCATTTTGTACAAAGTCACCAGACAGCCAGACAAACACCTGCTATCTGCCCCAACCAACCACACAGACAAAGCCGAACACAGCATGATTTACTTGTTTGAGTTTAATAATAATAATTTTATTCATTTATAAAGTACAAATTTCATATAGATATGTTCAAATGCGCTGTACAATGAAGACATTAAGCGTGGAACAATGAATACATTTAAACATGGTTAAGCCGATGGCATAAGGGCGCCTCCGCCGCCAAACACCCACATTCACCAACATCAGTAAAGAGGAGACAATGAGAAGCAGCTACAGCTTTAGAGGTAGGAGGAAAACCCCAAAGGAATAGTCTGGGTAAAACAAGTAGGGACTGAAACCCAATCCACATGTGAACCGGGCCGGGAATCGAACCCGGGACCACAGATGTGGAAGCCGACTGAAGAACTACCTTGCCAACCTGAGTTTGGAAACAAGGCATCCCAGGAATAATATGAAAGGTACAGGCGAAAGTAACAAGGTGTCAGTGAACAATACCGAATACTGACCACTTGTAGTTTTCTGCCTTCTAACTATACATGCTGAACTCGATGTCAAATTAGTTCCAGGTCTTGGCTGATTGTTTTAA